CCCAATAGGCAACATTGCACCCTCTCTTGTTCTGCCCAAGCAATCATGGTCTTAACTCTCAAAACTCTGAGCCAAATAAATTTTGGCTCTGGTGGCATACGCCTATAATCCTAAATACTCTGGAGGCTGAGTTCTGGGGATTATGGTTTGAAGCCAGCCCAGCAAGACAAATCCAAGAGATTCTTATTTCCAATGAACCAGCGAAAGGCTGGAAATGGAGGTGTGGTTCATTGGTAGAGCACCACCCTTGAGAGGAAAAAGCTATGTAAGAGTGGGAGGCCCTGTGTTCAAGCCCTAGCACTGACTAAATAAATAAATAATGAATAGCTTATTTATTGTATATTAGATTTTCTCTCTTGCTGAATTAGGTGCTTCTTCTGTGTTTCTAAAATACACATGTTCCCAGCACCCACCTTCATCCATGTCAGCAAATACAGTTTCCCCACAATATATGAGCTTTCAGGTGACTCATCAATTGGTTCCTGTGTGTATTCCACAAATATGTCAAATAAAATGTCCCTATAAAGACAGCTGTGACCAAAAGACATAGTCCTTATCTTTTGGTCCAATTTGTAGAGGAAAAAACTTTACATGTATACTTCTAGGTAGGTTATCCTTCAAAATAGCTTTGCAATTTAAAGAATTATAAAAAACATATTCACTTCCTTCTTTCACTGTTCTACTTAGAAATCTTGACAGTATTCCTAATGTTACAAATAATTTGGGGGTGTGTGAATTATGAGTTGTTTTACTACTTTATAATGTCACTTTTTGCGTGTGTGTGCCGGTACTCAGGCTTGAACTCAAGGTCTTGTGCTCTCTTTTGGATTTTTTCCTCAAGACTAGTACTCTATCACTTGAGCTACATCTCTACTTGCAACATTTTGTTGGTTAATTAAAGATAGAGTGTCACAGACTTTTCTGCCAGGGCTGGCTTTGAACCATAATCCTCCAAGTAGCTAGGATTACAAGCATGAGTCACCAGCATCTAACTTTCATAAATCACGCTTTCATAAACATCTTTCCTTCCCAATAGTTATTATACTAACCATTTCTCCTGAATAGCTTAGAACACATCATTTTTATAAAAAGAGGTGATTTTTTTTTTGTGGGGGGTGGGGAGGAACTGGGAAGGTGGCTCAGTGGTAGAGTGCTTGCCTTTCATGTATGAGGCCCTGGGGTTTGATTACTCAGCACCACATAAGCAGAAAAAGCTGGAAGTGGTGCTGTGGCTCAAGTGTAGAGCACTGGCCTTGAGCTGAAGAGCTGAGGGACAGCACCCAGGCCCAGAGTTCAGGCCCCACTTGTAGTTTATTGTGATATATGTTTTTCCTTCCCGGTAATAAATTGGATACTGGTACAGAAATGATGGAAATGTAGGCCAGCGGACATCAGGCAACTGTCAGCTAGCTGAGTGTATAAAAGAGATGATGATGGAAAACTAGGGTAGTTGGGTGGGGAAAATGGGAAGGGAACATGATTCCTCGCTCCTCTTCAGAAGGTACGAGAAAGGGTTTAAAGAAGAAAATAAGCATTAGGAGCTGGTGGCTCATGCTTACAATTCTAGTTACTTCAGGAGGCTGAGATCTGAGGATCCAGGTTTGACCCTAGCCTGGGCAGGAAAGTCCATGAAACTTTATCTCCAGTTCACCAGCAAAAAAGATAGAAGTGACCATTAGAAAGGATAAAATAATAGCATTCACAGGGAAATGGCTAGAACTAGAACAAATCATGTTGAGCAAGGTAAGTCAAGATCAGAGAGACAAACAGCACGTGTTGCATCTGATATGCAGATGTTAGATTTGAAACACAATGAGATATGACAAAGTAAACAGTACTTAAGTTACCCATATACACTGAGATAAAAAAAGGATAGTTTCAGAAGAAAAGCACCAAATTGTAATACCCAAGCACTTCTTATATATAAAATAATATACATACTGAAAAGAACCCCAATGATAAGGAAACAAAGGACCTCTTCTTAATTCATCCTGTTCTTTACCTCATATATGGTGCACATATGAGGGAAGGTGGGAACAGCACAGAATCAGCAGAAAGCAGGTGGAAAAATACAGCAGAGGGGCTCATCAGCTGCACTGGACACTAATGAAAGTGTACTAAGCAACTCAAGGGCAGTGATGGGAGGGAGGAGATGTGAGAGAAAGAGGTACAGCTGATACTAAGCAGTAGTAAGCGATTTGTAAGAAATAGTTTTATTGTCAAAGGTCATAGTGTTCATAAGCTATGTAGGTTAAGGTAATAATGACTATCATTGTGAAGATTAAAAGGTGTTTGTGACTTTAGCTAAGTATAACTATGCCACAGTATTGTGAAATTTATGTAGTCACCTAATCTCATTAAAGAAATATTAGTGGGGGAGAAGTGATGCTGTGGCTCAAGTAGTAGAGTGCTAGATTTGAGAAAAAAAAGCTCAGGGATAACATACAGGCCCGAGTTCAAGCCCCGGGACTGGTGTGTGTGTGCATAGGCACACATAAAACCAGTTATAGGAAAATTCATATGTGTGATAAACTTTTACCCTGAATAATAATCTTAGAGAACAATACTGGTTTTCATAAGTGAAGTAATTCCTTATACACTTCTAGCATAGTTTTCTCTTGTTGAGTTCAGAATGGGAGATGGTAGCAGTGGCAAAGGTATGCAATGAAGACTCAAATGCAAGATGCCTATCAGTAATGTAATTCAAAATAATATTCCATAGGACACCAGTGACTCACACCTGTAATCCTAGCTACTCTGAAGGCTAAGACCTGAGGACTGCAGTTCAAAGCCAACCTGGGCAGGAAAGGCTGTGAGAATTATCTTCAGTAAACTACCAATAAAGCAGGAAGTGGCACCATGGCTCAAATGGTAGAATGCTGGTCTTGAGTAAAAGAAGCTCAGAGACTGAGTTCAAGCCCCAGGACCAGCAAAATTAAAAAAAAAAAAAATCCAACAAGTTTAATCACCCACACATCAAGCAAGTATATGCAATAACACCAATGGAACTAGAACCAAACTGTATGGGTTAGTTCACTGGCACTCACCAAAGGGAACACATAGCTGTGGTGAGGCAGGCTGATGGGACAGGCTAGAGTTGGAAGCTGTAGTGCAAAGTTAGGAGTCTTTTGAGAACCTTGCTCTGATTTGAACATCTTCAGCTTCAACTTGTATGACCTGTTTTCAGGAAGGTTAGCTTGCTTGCTATTCTAGACTACTGCTGGCTGCCTTAAGGTTGTTCATTGGCATGTCTAAGCCATTCCCAAACTCCTTGGAGTTGGCTCACTAGCCATGTGCACATTGCCATGGATGGGGGGGGAGGGTTGAAAGACCTGTGGTCATTGGGCCATCTGGTCAGTAGGCCATCTGGTGGCTGCTTGTGAGCTTGCCCTATGTTCTTTTTGTTTGTTTGTTTTTGTTTTTTTAAATGAGCCTGGGCATTGTCCCTAACTTTTGGTACTCAAAACTAGCACTCTACCACTTGAGCAAACCTATACTTCCAGCTTTTGGGTACCTAATTAGAGACAAGAGTCTCACAGATTTTCCTGCTCAGGCTGGCTTTGAACCAAAATCCTCAGATCTCAGTCTTCTTAGTAGCTGGGGTTACAGGTGTGAGCCACCGGCACACAGCTTGGCCTGTGTTTTGCTGATAACTGATTGTACTACACTTAGAACCAGCTCCTTTGCTGTGACCATGTCATAATTTTTCACTGATAATCTGCTAAGAAATTTTCTTTAGATTTTAGTATTTAATTAAATGATCTGTTCCTATTCTGTGAATTAAGTAAAGGCCTTTCTAGAAAACTAGTGATTTGCCAAGTACCTGTGGTTCACACCTATATATTGAAGCAAGCCAACTACATAATGTAGCAAATAATGGTAATAATAATAATAGTACCTCTATCTCCCTCTCCCTTGTTTTGTTAAATTGATGAGGAGGAGCAGTTCTGATAGAAGGAGTTAGAATATAGAAGGTAGCATATAATCAGATTAGCTTTGTTACCTGACAATCACCTGTATAATCATTCAGAGACATATTCAGTGAATAAAGGTGTCCACCTTAGGCTGATCTTCTAAGATGAAATGAGGTAATATGCTTTTTTGTTAAATGATGTTATGTGAAACCAATATGGCATTCCTGCTGTTTGCTGTTGTTCTGTTTGAAAAGATCCGTCACCTTCATCCCTGGGGACCACAAGGAGGCAGGCAGACATAGAAGAAAGATTACAAGGTTTATTAGAGGAACCATATTTCCCCCGGAGATAGAACATAGGGCAGCCTCTGTTATCTAGGTAGCCACAGGGCCTGAGGGGTAGGAAGTGAGGTAAGTGCCAGTTCAGGTAGGTCTGGGTGGAGAAGAGGGAGGGGCCAGCTATATGGCCAGAACTCCAGAGCAGGGAGGAGCTCAGGTCTGGGTGGAGCTGAGGACAGAAGGTGGGCATAATGCTTACACTGTTGGCCTTTATGATGATTAACTTAGTAGTTCTGGATTCTGTTGTACTTGTTATAATTGTCTTAAAACATCTGTTTTGTGGCAAACAATATTTTTGGTAGTTAATTGGAGATAAAGAGTCTCATGGACTTTCTTCTCTGGGCTGGCCTTTCAACCATGATCCTCAGATTTTAGCCTCCTGAGTAGCTAGGATTACCAGTATAAGCTACCAGAGTCTGGTTTAAACAGTGTATTTTTGGATTGTGTTTCCAGTTTTACTTTTTTTCCCTCTATTTAAATGAATGACTGCTACATAATAGACTTTGGAATACTACCTAGCCTTAACATAAACTAAAATAACTACTGGTTTGTAGATAGAATTTCAGTGGGACATAGAGCAAATTTCCAAGATATTAGGATTTCAGGTCCCTTGCTTAAGGTTCAGTTTGAATTTAACAGACCTCTTCATAGTAGTTTGATAATGATGAAGACTTTTTGCACCTAGGATATCAGAATATTGTTAAAGAAAAATATGAGTAAAATACTGAATTCTGTTCTTTTTCTACAGTGCCTCCAAAGCCCTTACATCTGCAGAATTCACCTTCATCCAAAATACACCCAACCCCCAGGCATAAAGCTTTACCTAGAGCAAAACCCAGGATGGAGGAAGTTAAACCTGTCTCTGCTTCTTGTGTGTCAAAAGAAAAATCCAGTAAGGTTTCTGATCTTATCAGTCGCTTTGAAGGAGGCAGGTAAGAGTTAATGGACAATGGGAGAATGGACAATTTTGGAAAAGACATAGGTTTTCTAAATCAAAAACCTAGTATCTTCCATTTGGTTTGGTAGGCGTTTAAGAAGTGCATTTTTAAAATCAGCTACTTAATTTTGCCATGATATGATGTCATTGACTTACTATACAGGCCCCTGTGCTGCACTTTGGGCCACCAGTGTTTTTATAAATTGGTGTATATTTTATAGATGTGCTGTCTCTCATTTCCTGTTTGTGTGTCTTACTCTGTGCTACTCCTTTTGGCTCTGTGTGTGTGTATGTGTGTGGTGTGTGTATGCATGCATACTAGTGCTCAGGGCCTTGAACTCAGGGCCTCATGTTCTTGCTTAGCTTTTTTTGCTCATGACTTGTGCTCTAGAATGCTCTAGAAATCATGACCAACATAAATCTCCATTTAAATGTACTTCATAAGCCAGCTGTGGTAGTACACATCTGTAGTCTCAGTACTCTAGAGGCTCAGGTAGGAAGATTCTGAGTTCAAGGCCAGCCTGGGATACATAATAACTGTCTCAAAGGAAGAAAAGGAAATGAAAAATAAAAGAAGTGAAATTATATGAAACATGCTTATAAAAATATCATGCTGTTTATTGTGTGCTTATTAAAATGTAGTTCTAGCAACCTCTTTGGGGAAAAGTAATTTGGAATCCTGTCTTTACTTACTTTTTCACTCTGGACTAAGTGTGAGGACTTCTTTCATAAATACTCAAATTTTCAACAGCGTGTGTGTGTGTGTGTGTGTGTGTGTGTGTGTGTGTGTGTGTGTGTGTGTGTGTGTGTGTGTGTGATATGTGTGCATATGAGCCAGTACTGGGGCCTGGTTTTTTTTTTTTTTTGGGTCCGGTCATGGGTCCTGAACTCTGGGCCTGAGCACTGTCCCTCAGCTCTTCAACTCAAGGCTAGCGCTCTACCACTTGAGCCACAGTGCCACTTCCGGCTTTTTTCTTTTTGCTTATGTGGTGCTGAGGAATCGAACCCAGGGCCTCTGGCATGCAAGGCATGCGCTCTACCACTGAGCCACCTTCCCAGCCCTGGGGCCTGGTTTTTTTACTTTTTCACTCAGAGCTAGCACTCTATCATGTGAGCCACACTCCCACTTCAGGCTTTTTCTTGGTTAATTGAGGGTTAAGAGTATCATAGACTTTCCTACTCAGGCTGGCTTTGAAGCCAGGATCCTTAAATCTCAGCCTTTTGAGATCTTAAAGGTGATCTTAAAAGCAAGCTTTTGGAGTCTGATTTAATTCCATTAATTTTTTTCTGTTCCTCTGAATAAGCTGATTTATTAGCAGAAGTATGATCTTTCCTGTTTGCAGATTCTAGCAGCCATGCCTCCTACAGCTTAATCCAATGGCTTGCCTCATACCTAAGCCTTGAGGGCAGTTTTGTGAAACTCTGAAAGAGTCAGTAGTCCAACCAAAGGCAGAAGCCCCTGATCCTTACCATTTCTAAAGCCTACTGTTTACATCATTTTTGCATTCTTCTGTAACCTCACAAACCCAGAGTCATCTTCTAATATATATCCAGAGGGGGTTTGATCTAAGGAGAAATGAACTGACATTTGTTTCTGAGTTTAGAAGCAAGTTTGTTGAGTGTACTTAGGATGTGATGGAAGTTTTTGGCAAGCACGGTGAGAGGATGGGTGTTACTTGTGTCTGAGTGCAAACAGTAATGATGTGCTTAGTGAGGCTTTGCCAGTGCCAACTGGCCCTAAACATGTCTCTGTGGGTTAATACTACATTAGGTTTAGATGACTCAAGTGGGAAATTCTTATTTCCTGCTGAATGACATCCATTTCCCTGTTGGGTGGTTTTGAGTCTTTTCTTTTTTTGTGCTGTTCCTGGGGCTTGAACTTCAGTCCTGGGTGCTCTCCTGAGTTTTTGTGCTCAAGGCTAGTGCTCTACCACTTGAGCCATGGCTTCACTTCCTGCTTTTTTGGTGGTTAATTGGAGATGAGTCTCATAGGCTTTCCTGCTTGGGTGGCTTTGAACTGTGATCTTCCAGTCTCAGCCTCCTGAGTAGCTAGAATTATAGATGTGAGCCACCACTGCCCAGCTTGATAATTTCCAGTTTTAATCCCAGTTGTTGATTCTAGAATAAAGAGACATCCCTAGGTTTTGAGTTACTGTAAGAAAGGACAGAGAGGGGCTGGGAAGGTGGCTCAGTGGTAGAGTGCATGCCTTGCATGCATGAGGCCCTGGGTTCAATTCCTCAGCACCACATAAGCAAAAAGAAAAAAAGCCAGAAGTGGCGCTGTGGCTCAAGTGGTAGAGCACTAGCCTTCAGCTGAAGAGCTGAGGGACAGCGCCCAGGCCCAGAGTTCAGGCCCCACCACCGGACCACCCCCCCCCCCAAAAAAAAAAAAAAAAAGAAAGAAAGAAAGGACAGAGAGAAATCGTGTCTGGTACGGTGTTGTCGCCTTGTCATGGGCTGGGATAGTCACTTGACTATTACTAAGGTGTTCTGTACAGTGGTCCAAGTAACTTTTTTAAAAAATTAAATGTGATTGGGAGCAAGTAGTGTTTATTTATTTTTGCCAATATTGAGGATTGAACTTAGGGCTTTGTGCTCTCCCTTGTTTTTTTTTTTTTTTTTTTTTTTTTTTTACTGAAGGCTAGTGCTCTACCATTGGAGCCACACCTCTACTTCTGGCTTTTTGTTGGTTAATTGGAGATGTCTGCTGACTTCGAATTTTGATCCTCAGACCTCAGCCTCTTGAGTAACTAATTACAGGCATGAGCTATCAACCCTTGACTTCTATATAATTTTTTTTCTATGAAATTTTTCCTGCTCTTTAGCTCTTCTTCCTCTCCCTCCTTACGTTCTTGGGGAAGTTGGATGAGCAGACGAGAAGACCAGGAATAATGTATCCTATCCAAGTCATGGAAAAGCAGCAAAAGGGCTGGGGATGGGAAGAAGCTATTACATCTCAGCCTTGTCCACGGAGCCTTGCTGTTCTCTCTCCCAAGACCTCCACTCCTCGTCACCTCTTCCCATACTGGGGAAGATCACCAGCCCTGGACTTGGTCCTGTGTTTTTGTCTGCAGCGCCACCCCCCACCTTCATTCCCCTCCATCCCCCCACCCTGTCTCATCCCATCCTGTGTTCCAGCATGTAGTCAGGTGGAGTAGGGGTTATAAGGAGATTCTGAGTTAGACTCTGTGGCTTGCTAGCCATCTAACATTGGCCCCAGAATGCATTGACATTCCTAAGCCTAGGTTTTGCCATTTCTGGCTCCTTCTTTCAGAGTTATGATAAGCATGAAACATGACAAACTGTGTAAAAGGGCTGAATGCAATGTCCAGCCCTTAGTAACCACTTTTAAAATGTTACCTGATGGCTAAGCACTGGTGGGTTACACTTGTCATTGTAGTTCCTCAGAACGCTGTGATCTGGAGGCTTGACATTCTAAGCCAACCTAGGCAGAAAAGTCTATGAAGCTCCATCTCTAAAGGACAAATCTAAAGGACAGGCTAGAGTCATGGCTCAAGCCTAAGAGTGTCAGCTGTGAGTCATCAGCCAAATAAATATGAGGCACTGAATTCAAACCTCAGCACTGTCATGACTGGAGGTGTGGCTCAAGACATAAAGCACCTGTCTACACCTCGGCACTGTGAAAAACAAAAAATATAGTTAAGCACCCATGACTTTTGCCTGTAATATGAGCTATTCAGGAAGCTGAGATGAAGGTTGTGGTTCAAAGCCAGCCCAGGTGACAAATCTGAAAGACTCTATCTCCATTTAGCCAGCAAAAAGCCAAAAGTATACATGTGGCTCAAGCCTTGAGCAAAAACACTAAGGAAAGCCAGGCATATTGTGGCTCATGCCTGTTATCCTAGCTACTTAGGAGGCTGGTTTGAAGCCAGCCTGGGCAGAGAAAATAAAGGAGACTTTTATCTCCAAGTAACAACCTCAAAGTCAGAAGAGAAGCTGTGGATCTAGTTGCTAGAGTAGTAGCCTTGAGCAAAAAATCTCAGGGACAGTGCCCAGGCCCTGAATTCAAGGACACTCAGCCCCCCTCCCCTTCCCCACACTTCAGGAGTAGTTCCATATGAATATTGTTCTATGTTGGGAACAAGGTTCCAGTGTCCTGTTTGTGCTGCTGTGTAGCGCTAGTGATGAAGTATATTATTTAGACAATCTGTTCCAGAACAGCTATTAGAAGATGCTATCCAGTCACAAGCCTGAATGGAGAGAAAGGAATACGCCCCATAGTGTGCTGAGGAAGACAGACACAGGCAGAGGAACAGGGAACACTTGGACTGTGTCAGGCACAATTGGAGGAGGGAGATATCTTGAGAAAGGTGGTTATGTATTCGCTTGTTCCCTGTCTGTATCTTCTTCAGTAAAGTTTCTAAGGCTTACTGTGTTACCACTCATGGACATCCCCTCAGAGCATCATGGTACTCTTCCATAAGTGTTCAGGGAAGCCCTCAGAGTTTGATCTGACTATGGAGACCGGTTTGGAGGGACCATGAAGAGTAACCCATTAGTGCTAAACCACCAATTAGTAGAACAGTTAGGACTGCTGCAGCGCATGCAGATCAAGTTTTTCAGAACACATTCTGCTTTTTAAAGAAAAACAGCATTTTGAACCAGGCGCTGTTGGCTTACACCTGTAATCCTAGTCATTCAAAAGACTGAGATCTGGGGGTTGCTTTTCCAGGCTAGCCAGGCAGATAAGTTTGAGAGATTCTAATCTGTATTTAACCAGCCAAAAGCCAGAAGTAAAGCTGTGGCTTAAGTGGTAAAGTGCCAGCCTTGAGTAGAAAAGCCAAATGAGAGAGTATGAGACCTTGGGTTTAAGCCCCAGTCCTGGCATAAAGCAACAAAAAAGCAAACAGTATAGACGACAGTTCATAAACTGGAGGTTGTTGTACTTGTTTTAAATATTAAGGAAATAAACTTCCTGGGGATGGATTATTTATTGTGTATATTGGGGGGGGGGGGCGGTATATGGGTGCATGCGCACACGTGCCAGTCTAGGCTTGAACTGAGAGCCTAGGCATTGTTCCTGAGATTTTATGCTCAAGTCTAATGCTCTACCACCTGAGCCACAGCTCCACTTCCAGCTTTTTGGTGATTAAGGGACTTTCTAAGCTCTAAGCTACTTGAGTAGCTAAGATTACAGGTATGAGCCAAGTGTTACTCACTAGTCATACTATTTTCTTTTTTTTTTTTTTTTTGGTCCAAGACTGGAACTTGAACTTAGTACCTGATGTTTTTGCTCATTGGTTAGCGCTTTACCAGCTGAGCCAGATTTCTAACCTTTAACTAGTCATGTTATTATGATGGCCCAAGGTGATGTTTTCAACTTTGTGGATAAAGCTCCACATGTTCATTTAACTGTTTATTTACATGTGTACAGCATCCCTTTAGTGCCTGGTTGTCAAACCATCAGAGTTAGAAAATGGAAGAAGCCAGTCTTTATTCCAAATCTTTTCCCATGCTATGTTTTCATGCCTTTTCTGTACTTCACCTTTTAGCACATTATCAAACTCCAGTGATCTGAAAAAAGATCCTGCAGTGAATCTAAATGCTCCTCGAACCCCAGGACAGCCTGGCTTCACACCCACTTCTCCAGAAAAGCTCCTCTCCCGGCACCCACCACAGAAACAGAGAGATGATCCCAATCGGACTCAGGGCGAACAGGCTTGTATGGCCAATGGCATAATGGCAGCACAAAACCAGACGGAATGTGAAGAGAACCAAGCGACCTCTCCCAGCCCCACTGCTCCTTCGCAAGCTGCCGAACCCCCACAGGAAACTCACTTCATCAATGGAGAAAGAGATGAAACGACCACCGATGCTGCAACCCCCACGACCCACGACCGTGACGAAGATGCTTCCCATAGTAGCTGCAGGGCTCCAAGTCCAGACACAGTGCTCCCCCTAAACAAAGGGCAGTCAGACACAACGGACAAGGAACAAGACAGGGACAGTGGAGAAAGCCCCATGGAATCAGAGCAACTGGACCAGCACCTTGAGATGAAGGTTAGAGCATGAGACTAGCTCCTAGATGGGTCCACTTAGTCCAGGGCTGGGTATCATTCCTTTCCCAGACCCAGGAAATGGCTGAACTGGTGTAAGCATTCACTAGCTCTAGAGAATTTGTGAGAAGGGGGGGAGGTACTTTGTGGTTTGGGTTTTTTTTTTGTTTTTTTGTTTTTTGTCAGTCATGGGGCTTGAACTCTGGGCCTGGGTGCTGTCCCTCAGCTCTTCAGCTCAAGGCAAGCGCTCTACCACTTGAGCCACCGCGCCACTTCCTGTTTTCTAGGCGTTTATTGGAGATAAGAGTCTCACAGAATTTTCCTGCCCGGGCTGGCTTTGAACTGTGATTCTCAGATCTCAGCTGTGATTCTCAGATCTCAGCCTCCTGAATAGCTAGGATTACAGGTGTCAGCCACTAGCGCCTGGCTTGTTTTGTTTTTGTTTTTGTTTTATATATATAGTTTGTGTTGTTTTCTTTGTTGTGATTTTAAGATTCAAGATAGTGTAGACTTTGGGGAAAACTACGAACTCGTCTCTAGGTAGGAGGAAAATGCTTTCAGCTCTAGATGTTATAGCTACATCCTAATATAATTTTATTGTTATTATTAAGGTGTTGTACAGAGCAGTTACTATTTCATAAAAGTCAGGTAACAAGTACAATTCTTTTGGGAGTATTGTCACCCCTTTCTTCTCTTTCCCCTAATTTCTTCCTTGAAGTTACATAGTCTTTTGTTTTTAGAAGTTTCTAGTCTAGGCTTGCTTGTGTCAGTACTGTGGCTTGAACTCAAGGCCAGGTGCTCTCCCTTGGTTTTTTCTTCAAGGTTGGTTTGCTGCCACTTTAGCCACACCTCTACCCTAGCATTTTTGCTAGTTAATTAGAGGTGGAGTCTCTGGGACTTTTCTACCTGGGTTAGCCTTGAACCTCGATCCTCCAGGTCTCAGCCTCCTAAGTAGCAAGAATTACAGGTGTGAGCCCCTGGTTTTGAGCTTTATTTTGCTCTTTATAAAGTCCATTAGTACTTTGGGAATACTAATAAGTGTGGCTACTATACAGCTTTTGGGATTTCTTGGGTCAGAAGTACAATGTAAAAATCATTCTAAATTCCTCTAAGATTAGAAAGCTGAGTGCATCTCTAAAGACATAGCAAAAGTTTCCATTGCTAGTCTCTTTTACTGGTAATACTAAACTATGTAGGGAGGTTGAAAGTGGAAAGTTATAGGAAAAACGTGATACATTGAAATCTTAAATCTACTTGTCATTTTGAAGTTCTGTGTCTTAGCTGACATTAACACAGGCAGAAATTTAAAAGGATTGATTCTAAAATATTTATTAAAATTTAGAAATGATTATAAGTTGTAATTGGTAATTGTATTTAGAACCTTAATGGAAATGAAGAAATGAGGATATAATTATCAAGTAAGAGTATTACATTTCTAAGATGTAGGAATATTATTTTTACTACATAGATTCAGGAGACAATAACTTGGTTTTTCCAGTTAGAATTTATTTATTTAGTGCCAATGCTGGGTCTTAAATTCAGGGCTTCACCCTCTTGCTTAATTTTTTTCTGGTATTCTACCACTTGAACCATACATCTCCTTCCATATGTTTGCTGGTTAATTGGAGATAAGAGTCTCATGGGCTTTTCTGCTTCACTTGACTTTGAATTCACCCTCCTTTGTAGCAAGGATTATAGGCGTGAGTCAGCTGTGCATAGGTAAGGAATTAATTGTAAAGACAGAGTTTCCAGCAGAGAAAGTTTGAATGAGGAAGTTCATGGGAGAAAGTGAGTCATACACTTGGTTGACAGTATCTGAAGGATCAAAGAAACATTGAAGAGTGAATCTCTACATCTCCATATTGTGGTAGATTTTAGCATTCTTCTGCTTGACTAGGATGGAAGAGAATATTAAAACCAAAAAAAAAAAATCTTCCACACAGTTGAAATGATACCCCTAGCCAATATTTGTAAACCGGTAAGACCTACCGTTATTAATGGAAATGTCCAATGGTATTAGTGCCTATGATCACTGTCTGGTACTTTCCTCTGCCTTATTTTATATATGATTGTATATCCATGATCATAGATGAATCTTACTTGATTTGGGAGAGGCTTAATAGAGTTTTCTTTCGTTTCCCTCCCTTCCTCCCCTCCCCTCCCTCCCTTCCTCCCTCCCTCCCCTCCCCTTCCCTTCCTTCCTCCCTTCCCCTCCCTTCCCCTCCCTCCCCCTCCTTCCCTCCCTCCCTCCCTATCCCTTCCTCCCCCTCCTTCCCTCCCTCCCTCCCTATCCCTTCCTCCCCCTCCTTCCCTCCCTCCCTCCCTCCCTATCCCTCCTTCCCTCCCTCCCTTCCTTCCTTCCTCCCTCCCTTCCTTCCTTCCTCCCTTCCTCCCTTCCTTCCTTCCTTCCTTCCTTCCTTCCTTCCTTCCTTCCTTCCTTCCTTCCTTCCTTCCTTCCTTCTTTCTTTCTTTCCTTCCTTCCTTCCTTGCTGTTACTGAGGCTTGCACTCAAGGATTCATGCTTGGCTTTTTCCACTCAAGGATGATCATCTACCACTTGAATTACAATTCCACTTCTGGCTTTTTGTTGGTTAAATGGAAATAATTATATCATGGATTTTTTCTGCCGAGGGCTGGCTTTAAACCAAGAACCTCAGATGTTCGCCTCTTGAGTGCTTAGGATTACAGGCGTTGTGCCATCAGTGCCCAGCTTCTTCTTTTATGATACATTTCTTTTTCTTGTTTTATAATGCACAAATGTTAATAGTGTTAAAGTGGTATATTTTGTCAGGAATATTTTACTGTGATGAAAAATAACATGTTCAGTAATGTAATGTGGGCCAGGAAGTCCCATGTTCCTGCTGTGAGCTGGCAGTGTGACCTTGAACAGTATTTTATTGAAAGACATATAAACTCTGCATGGTCCCCAAGCCCTTTTCAGTGATAAATTTTCCATGCTGTTACATTCTCTTGCTGGTACAGTCTCCAGGTGACCTGCTGAGTCTTAAACTTATGTGTTCAACATTTATGGAATAATTAAATATTTTGAGTACTTTATGACCCCTGAAAAAAAGTTTTCTTGTCATTAGATAGTGATGTCAGAATAGTCATAAATAAATTCCACCTCATCTAATAAAGAACTTAATAGACATTTCCCAGATGCTTCCCAGGAACAGAAAACAGACTTGAAAATGTCATTCAGGAATATGACAAATATTAAATACATCATTGAATGGTCAGTGAGAACTGACTTAAGCAATTTCAGCTATTAAACTGTATCTCTGATTTTTTGGGAGGGATGTTTTAATCAGTAATTGCGTTCATTAATGAGTTCAGAATACTTTTATGAGCCAGGGGCTTGGTGGCTCACACCTGTAATCCCTACTACTCAGGAGGCTGAGATCTGAGGATCACTGTTCAAAGCCAGGGCAGGAAAGTCCAGTTAAACTGAATTTTAAGGATATAAAATCTCAGCTCTTAGATCCTCCAGACTTGAGCAGAAAAAGTCAAGTGAGAGCATGGGGCCCTAAGTTTAAGTATCAGTACCAACACTCAGATACGCACACAAAAAAGTATTTATGATCCCACCAGAATTCACCATGCCATACAGAAATGATGATACAGCTCCTCCATAATGTCCTTGATTGCCTCACTGAAAAACAAGAAAATGTAACAAAACACAAAGTCTGTGAGACTCTTTTAGCCAATTAACCAACATAAAAAAAAATGGACATATGGCTCAAGTGGTAGAGTGCTAGCCTTGAGGGGAAAAGCCAAAGGAGAGCTCAAGGACCTGAGTTCAAGCTCCAGTGCCTGCGGCAGAAAGCCCCCAAACAAACAAACAAAAAACCCACCATACCTCAGTTTTGATGCATCTCATGATAGTGGTACAAAAGCAAATGTTTTTTCCATAAATTGATTCAAAAAAAAATTTTTTTCCGGTAGTGGGGCCTGGGTGCTGTCCCTCAGCTCTTCAGCTCAAGGCTAGCACTCTACCACTTGAGCCACAGCGCCACTTCCGGCTTTTTTCTTTTTGCTTATGTGGTGCTGAGGAATTGAACCTAGGGCCTCATGCTTGCAAGGCAAGTGCTCTACCACTGAGCCACCTTCCCAGCCCTTGATTCAAATTTTTATGAGAGAATGGACTTCTGGAACACTGAAGTACATGAATCTATACAAAGCTACTGTTGGTTTGTTTGTTTTTTAAATAGGAGAAGATAATTAACTGGCAGCAGATTTCAGTTGAAACTTCTTAGATCCAAGGATCATTTCATATGATTTTAGAAAATTCTACTAACTTACATAGGTCATCATATACATATGCTTCATAAAGTCATTTATTAAAAATCATTTATAATCCATAATTATTTATAATTATGCTATGTCAAGTCTGTTTTGTTAGACTTCACTAGAAGAAAATCACATTGTTTTTTAAATCATTATTGCATCACCATTAACTGTTTCCCAATGACTTCTTAGAAAATGTGCTATGGGCAACTGACATAGGGACTCAAACCTGTAATTCTAGCTGCCTGGAAATTAGGAGGATTGCACCTCAAGGCCAGTTTAGGCAAAGAAATTTGACTGATTTTTCTCCTTCTCAGACAATAAAAATCTGGATACAGTGGTTACACACCTATCATCTCAGCCATGCAAGAAGCAATAAACAGTAGGATTGTGGTCCAGATTAGCCTAGGCCTAATGCAAGATTCTATTTGAAAAACAGCAAGATTAGCAGGTGCAGGTGCAGGTGGGAGCTGAGGACTGCAGTTCAAAACCAACCTGGGAAGGAAAGTCTGTGAGATTATCTCCAATTAACTACCAGAAAACCAGAAATAGCACCGTGGCTCAAAGCTCAGGAACAGCACCTAGGCCCCAAGGTCAAGTCCCACAACTGACCAAAAAAAAAAAGGAAAGGAAAGAAAAGAGAAAAAGAAAAATAGCAAGAGAAAATGGGGCTGGGGAGGTAGCTTATGTGGTAGAGCACATGTAGTCTAGCAAGTGTAAGGCCCTTGAGTTCTAATTCCAATATCACACACACAAAAGAAGAGCAAACGAGAGGTTATATAATTTTGAAGTAGCAATATTTAAGAAATGATATTTATTGCCGGGCGCCAGTGGCTCATGCCTGTAATCCTAGCTACTCAGGAGCCTGAGATCTGAGGATCATGGTTCAAAGCCAGCATGGGCAGGAAAGTCCAGGAGACTCTTATCTCCAATAAGCCACCAGAAAACTAGAAGTGGCACTGTGGCTCAAGTAGAAGAGAACTCACCTTGAGCTGAAGAGCTGAGGGACAGTGTCCAAGCTTGGAGTGCAAGCCCCATGACTGACAAAAAAAAAGAAATGGTATTTATTTAACTTTCCTACTTACAAGTCAGGCTAGATAGAGCTTCAATGTAGCAATGATTTAAAAACTACTTGGGAGGCACGGGCAGTGTGGCTCAGTGGTGAAGTTCTTGCCTAGCATGCATGAGGGTGTGATCACAGTAAAGCATTGACTACTTCATTACTTATACACATACATCTAGCAGAATAGATGCAGAGGGAAAGACCAACCCAAACTCATTTTGTTCTGTATGCTCACAACATCACTCTGTGATCCCAAAGTGTAAGAGGACTTTTCTTTACCACAAACAAGCAGCGAGGCAGCCTTGCAGCTGGGGCCCAAGCTGTTTACCTAGAGATCCAGTAAGATCTCAGGAGTTCAGGCCTCAGTCCCCAAGATGGCCTCTCCAGATTGTGCTTCTGTCCAATTGAATATAAATCAGGGTTTCCACAGTATCCTCCTCGGATTTGATTAACTTACTGTTTGTTTCTGTTTTTTTGTGTGTTTTTTGTTTGTTTGTTTTTTTTTGTAGGTCGAAGGGCTTGAACTCTAGGCCTTGGGACTGCCCCTGAGCTCTTCAGCTCAAGGCAAGGGCTCTACCACTTGAGCCACAGCGCTACTTTTGGTTTTATGGTAGTTAATTGGAGATAAGAGTCTCAGTTTCCTGCTTGGGTTGGCTTTGAACTGTGATCTTCAGATCTCAGCCTCCTGATTAGCTAGGATTACAGGCATGAGCCTTGGAGCCTGGCTTGTTTCCATTTTTGTACCAGTACTGGGGCTTACACTCAGGGCCTCAGTCTCTTTCTTGGCTTTTTTGCTCAAGGCTGGTGTTCTACCACTTGAACCACACCACCATGACCAGTTTTTTCTGGTTAATTGAAGATAAAAGTCTTTCAGTTTTGTCTGCCCAGGATGGTTAAAAACTGGGATGCTTAGATCTCAGCTTCCTGATAGCTAGGATGAGAGGTATGAGCCACTAGTGTCTGGTTAAGATTAATCATTTTATGTAAAATAATTGCAACAGTATCTAGCAAGTAAGAGGCACTGAGTAAGTGCTAGCTGTTCTCATTGTGGTGATACTATTATTATTTTTATTAACCTGAACAAGGTTAAAATAAGGCTCCATGAGCGCAGCATTTCCTCATCTTCACTACAAAGTCCCTATTATTTTTTTTCTGCAAACTTAGATATAAGCAAGCTATTCTAAACTATGTCAGCAAGCTTATTTTTGCTTATCGTGGTGCTGGCTTTGGTAAGGTCTGGGGCCTGGTGTGGAGAAGACCATCTGTGAAGATGGAACACAGCTTTTGCTAATAAATACTGCCATCCTCCTTAAATTTTGAAAAGTATGGCCAGGATATTTGCCTAGTCCAGCTAATACTTGCTTTTATACTCAGTAAGAAACATTCTTTGAAGTTCTGTAGAACTGAGCACTGGAAGCTTATGCCTGTAATCCTAGCTTCTTAGGATGCTGAAATCTGAGAACTTAGGTTCAAAGCCAGCCCAGCAGACAAACTTGAGAGACTTTTATCTCCAGTTAACCAGTGAAAAACCAGAAGTGGAGGCATGGCTCAAGCGGTAGGATACTAGCCTTGAGTGAAAAACGTCTTAGGGAGAGCCTGAATTTAAGCTCCAGTGCTAACATGCGCGCACATGTGCGTGCCCCCCCCATGCTAAATTCTGACTAAATTTAAGCTCCAGTGCTAGTGCATGCATGTGTGTGCACACACACACAAACACACACATGCATACAGAAAAAGAAAAAGACTACCTAAGAAACTGCTTTGGTCAAACTCTCCAATGAAGTGTATAGTACTTAAAAATATTATCCAAGGTTCCTTTATTTACATTTGAATATCTGTTCTATTTCTAGGAGACGGATGAGCAAAAACTTCACAAAATAGCCAATGAACTTTTGTTGACAGAAAGAGCTTATGTGAACCGACTGGACCTATTAGATCAGGTAATTGCTTTCCCTTTCAGACTGATTTTCTGTTTGGCATTGTGCCTTCTTTTAACCTTGTAATGATAGTGTTTCAGAAACTGTACAAGATGGAGCCTTGAGTATGAGTTCACATACAGAGGCTTTTAAAAAATATTTTTACTATCTATAATAGTTGTACAAAGGAGTTACCATTCAACAAAGTAGTTCATATATACAGTGTGCCTTGATCAGTGTCACCCCTTTCAACATTCTAATTCATCCCTCCAAATGGAGAGCTTTTAACTGTATACTGCAGTTTGAACTGAGGGCCTGAGCACTGCCCTGAGCCTCTTTTTCCTCAAGGTTAACACTTTACCACTTGAACTATAGTGCCACTTCTGGCTTTTTCTTTTATGTAGTACTGAGGAATTGAACCCAGGGCCATGTATGCTAGGCAAACACTCTATGACTAAGCCACATTCCCGGCCTAATAATAACTCCTGAAAACTAAGGAATCATAATCCTTAGTAGATTGTCAATATAGACTTCCTTTGGACTGGTACTACAGTTTGAACTCAGGGGTTTGTCCTCTTACTTAGCTTTTATTGCTCAAGTATACCACTCTACCACATCTCTACTTCTGGGTTTTTGCTAGTTAATTGGAGATAAGAATCTTCCAGATTGTCTTCCCTAAGCTGGCTTTGAATTGGGATCCTTAAATCTCAGCCTTCTGAGTACCTAGGATTGCTGGCATGAACCACCAGCACCTAACTTCAGACTTCCATTGTTAAAAGAAAAAACTGCTAGGTTCTGAGTGCTTGTTACAAGAATTGGCTTCCTTATGCTACTAGAAACTTGGAATTTTATGGTAGCAGGAAGGCCTGGGCAACAAGGCCTTGCCAGTTAATTAGAGAATATGTGGCTTAGTGGTAGAATGCTTGCCTAGCATGCATGAAGCCCTGGGTCAATTCCTCAGAAGCACATAAACAGAAAAAGCCAGAAGTGGTGCTGTGACTCAAGTGGTAGAGCACTAACCTTGAGCATGGAGAGACTCAGGGATAGAGCCGTCCTAAATTCAAGCCCCAAGACTTGGGGGGAAAAAATCTCAAATTTATCTAGTAGGCTGGCTTTGAACCTCCTGAGTAGCTAGGATTATAGGCATTAACTGTCTGGCACCTGACTCCAGGTTGGATTTTTTTAAGTCAAGTGAACTTGTCTACTATTTCTGATCTTTCTGAATTTTTTTTTTTTGGGGGGGGGGTCCGGTCGTGGGGCCTGAACTCTGGGCCTGGACGCTGTCCCTCAGCTCTTCAGCTCAAGGCTAGTGCTCTACCACTTGAGCCACAGCGCCACTTCCAACTTTTTTCTTTTTTTGCTTATGTGGTACTGAGGAATTGAACCCAGGCCTCTTGCATGCAAGGCATGCACTCTACCACTGAGCCACCTTCCCAGCCCATCTTTTTGAATTTTAATGTCTTTAATGAACCTATTGGATTCTCTAAGGAGAATTCTTAATTTTGGCTTCTTTTTTTGCCTCTCAAGAAAATGCAGTGGAGATAAATTCAGAAAATTAATAGCTCTCTGGATACTATGAAGTACTAAACCTCTTTCTGGCTACATTTTGGAGGGAAAGTGTGTCTAGTGAAGTATGGCTAAGACTGTAAGGCAGCTTTAATTTTTTATTTTGTATTTGAATTTTTAATTGTAACTAATTCTAATTAAGATGTTATACAGAGGAGTTACTGTTTTATAAGTCAAGTGATAAATATACTTTTTTGTGTGTATGTAGACCATGGAGTTTGAACTCAGGGCCTGGACCCTTCCCTGAACTCTTTTCCTCGAGGCTAACACTCTTCCACTTTGAGTGGCAGTTCCACTTCCAGTCTTCTGTTGATTCATTGGGGATAAAAGTCTCACAGATTTTCCAGTGCAGGCTGGCCTTGACCCACAATCCTCAGATCTCAGCCTCCTGAGTTGCTAGGATTACAGGTGTGAACCACCAGCGTCCAGCATGAGAACAGTTCTTTTTTGAAAATGTCACCCCTTCTTTGGTTTTCCCCAGTTTCCCCCCTCCTGTTCCTGCCCACAAGTTGCATAGTTCATTTTAATTTTCTATCATTAAGATACCTGTGATTATATACACTCACTTATGTATAAGACACTCACCCCTCCAACCTTCACTCCAGTGTTTTAGGTTTTAATGCATTATTATTCACTTAAAACACAACATCTGAAAATCAACAGGACTTCTTGTTCACTCATTGGCCATATATTAAGCATCTATACCTGTTCTATTGAGAGAACTAAATCATTGCCCTACTTTTTTAGGTATAGACTATTTCAGTAGGAAAAAATAGGATTTATGTAGTAAGTACCATAGAAAACATAATCCAGCCTGTCACTGGTGGTTCATGCCTAAAAACCTAGCTACTTAGGAGGCAGAAATCTGAAAACAAAGATATACTCTCCCCCAAATAAAATCAGAAGTGGTAATAGTACAATTACTGTGATATTATATAATAAAGTATTTTTATGTCCCCAACTCTAGGTCAGAAGGGTAAATCCCATTAGCCTCAGCTGAAAATTCTCAGACATGAAAAGATGTATTACTACAGAAATGGGCACAAACTAAGTTAGAATTAAAGCTTTCTGAATTCATTGGAGGCGGGGTGCATACATGCACCAGTACTGGGGCTTGAACTCAGGTCCTTGAGCTCTTATTTGGATTTTTCACTGAAGGCTGGTGCTGTACCACTTAGCTACACCTCTATTCTAGCTTTTTGCTGGTTTATTGGACATAAGAGTCCCTCAGATTCATCTGCCTTTTTGCTTCAAACCAAGATTCTCAAATCTCAGTCTCCATGATAGTAAGGATTACAGGCATGAGCCACCAGTGCCTGGCTAACACTTCCTAATTCTTATTTATGGTTCTTCCAAATCTTTCAGATGATGTTAATTTTTTTTTGAACATTGAACTCTATTAATTCCATCAGAAGACCTAGCACAGGGCTGATTAGTTCTAACCAACAAATCTGAAGTTATCTCTATTTTCTTCTTTACTTAGGTATTTTATTGCAAGTTATTGGAAGAAGCAAACAGGGGCTCTTTCCCTGCAGAGATGGTGAATAAAATCTTTTCTAACATTTCATCAATAAATGCCTTCCATAGTAAATTCCTCTTGCCAGAGCTGGAGAAACGAATGCAAGAATGGTAAGAGGAATAGATAGAAATGCTTTGTTGTGTCTAAGGCAGGCATAGGAAATATGCTTGTAAGAAGTTATGTATGTATGTGCTGGCACTGGACTTGAACTCAGGTCCTCACTGTCTCACTTGGCTTTGTCGCTCTACCACTTGAGCCATATCTCCACTTTCAGGTTTTTTTGCTGGTGAATAGTACATAAGAGCTTCTTGAATTTGCCTGTATGGGCTGGGTTCAAACCTCAGTCCACAGATCTCAGCCTCTTGAGTAACTAGTATTACAGAACCTGGCTCCAAATCCTGCTTTTTTAATTAGCCTCACAGGAAAGCAGACATGATAAAGCGTAAGGTTTTGTGTAGAAAATGATAGATTCATCTCAAATTCTGTTCACTGTTCATTCTAGAAGAAACCATACAACCTGTTTTTCTTTTTTACTTACATAGGGAAACCACTCCCAGAATTGGCGACATCCTTCAAAAATTGGCGCCATTCCTAAAGATGTACGGAGAGTACGTGAAAGGGTTTGACAATGCAATGGAGCTGATTAAAACGATGACAGAGCGAATTCCCCAGTTTAAATCCGTGATTGAAGACATTCAGGTAACAGGGACAGCTTTGGTCATGCTAGTGAATTTTTCTATATGAATTCTATGGGGAGATCTGGAGGTTTGTCTGAAACCTGAAGACAATATCTATTCTTCTCTGCAAGTCATACATGTAAAATTAAAGCATTATTGAGCAGATGCCCCATTCTGTTGAATTCTCCATTTGTTTTTGAAACTAGTTGAGGCTTTATTAGATTCTACATTGATTTACAAAAACAGCCAGGTGCATGGTATACACTTGTAATCAAAGTGCCTCAGAGTTCCAGGCCAACCTACATTACCTACTGAGACTCCTATCTCAAAAAAAAAAATTACTATTTTTCTAAGTGAAGTAAGTTCCAAGTTCTTGCCTTTTTTTTCCACATTCTATCAGTGTTGGAAATATAAAATATATGAAGAAGGATTATTACAAACCCCAAGGCTTTGGAAATCTCATTTTTTTTGGCCACCTTTCAGATAGGCTCTCGGGCCACATACAGTCCTGGAAATCATTTGACAGGATAGACATACATGATTCTCATTAGCTGTCCTCAGTCATCTGCCTGTATTGATAATTTTGTATGACTTGAGCTTGATGCTCTAAACAGCCAAGTTCCCCAAGGCTATATCTAATATATACATATATATGTGTATATATATATGTGTGTGTATATATATGTATATGTTAGATATATAATACATATATATGTAAATATATAGAGATCCTGATTTTCTATTTTTATCAAACTTGGGCAATATATTTTAGTAATATTGTAGTAATTTCCATTCTTTAGTCAAAATTCAACATTGTTCATAACTTACTCTGATATAGTTTAAATAGAAAGGGGAAGCCAGGCACTGGCTTACACCTGTAATCATAGCTACTCAGTAGGCTGAGATTTAAGGATCACCTGGGCAGACAAGTCCAAGAAACATAATTCCAATTCAGCCTGTGGTGTTCTAAAAAGTGCTTCTGTGGTACCTTTTGAATTCCTCTTATTTTAGAACTATATTTTATTTTCCCATTAAAATGCAGCTGAGATTATCAGATGCATCTTAATTTAACATAGCTTACTTCAGATCATTCTAGCCTAAGTTCTGGTGAAGTATACACAATTTGTTCTAATCCTAATATGTTCCTTCCCTCATGCTCAGTGCTATTAGTACAATGTGTAAGTGTGTGCAAGTGTGCGTGCAGGTGAGCTAGATCCTGGGCTTGAACTCAGGGCTTAGGTGCTGTTCTGGACCTTCTTTTTTTAAGGGGAATACTCTTCCACTTGAGCCACACCTCTACTTCTAGCTTTTTGAGTCTTTTTTTTTTTTTTTGTCAGTTGTGGGGCCTGAACTCTGGGCCTGGGCTTCTGACTTTTTCTGCTTACGTGGTGCTGAGGAATCAAACCCAGGGCCTCGTGCATGCAAGGCAAGCACTCTACCACTGAGCCACCTTCCCAGCCCCCACTTCTAGCTTTTTAGTGGTCATTTGAGATAAGAGTCTCATGGACTTTGCTATTAGGCTGGCTTTGAACTCAGCCTATGGAGTAGCTAGGATTATAGGTATGAGCCAGTGGCTCCTGATTATTATTTTGTGTACATTTGAAACACTATTATGTTCTTAAAAATCCAACTGTAGAGTGGGCTGGGAAGATGGCTCAGTGGTAGAGGGCTTGCTTTGTATGCATGAGGCCCTGGGTTCCATTTCTCAGTACCACATAAGCAGAAAAAAACTGGAAATGGTGCTGTGGCTCAAGTGGTAGAGTGCTAGCCTTGAGCTGAAGAGCTGAGGGACAGTGCCCAGGCCTAGAGTTCAGGCCCCATCACACACACACACACACACACACACACACACACACACATTCAACTGTAGAGTGCTGTATAGTTATATTTTATAAAGTTAAAGGAGGATATGAAAAAAATGTCTGTGTGTATAGTGTCTGTTAACATATACCTGTTTTCAGCATGGAGATGATTATTGTTTCTTTTATAGTAGACCACCCATTGTTTTTAATCTGAGAAAACTTGCCTGTATTTGGGACTTGAATTCAGGGCTTTGTGCTTGCTTAGCTTGCTCATTCAGCTGATGCTCTATAACTTGAACCATACCTCCAGCCTGGCTTTTTGCTAGTTATTTTTTACCCAGGCTGCCTTGAATTGAAATCCTCTGGATCTCAGCCTTCTGTATAACCAAGATGATAAGCATGAGCCACCAGTCCCAGATAAATGTCGTTCATTTTCCTTTAATTTTGTTTTCTCTGTTTTTTAAATTGTACAATGTGTAGTCATCATTCTTGGATGTTTCTTTTTTTATTTTTTTTTGGGTCCGGTCGCGGGCCTGAACTCTGGGCCTGGGCGCTGTCCCTCAGCTCTACAGCTCAAGGCTAGCGCTCTACCACTTGAGCCACAGCACCAATTCCGGCTTTTTTCTTTTTGATTATGTGGTGCTGAGGAATCGAACCCAGGGCCTCAGGCATGCAAGGCAAGCGCTTTACCACTGAGCCAACTTCCCAGCCCCTCTTGGATGTTTCTTGATTCTTCTGTCACCTCATCTGTTATTGAACCCCTTTCATTTCAGTTACACTTTTGAATCCCAGAATTTTCATTTGATTCTTTTCTCTGTCTTCCTCTTTCTAATCATAGGTCTCCTCCTTGAAAAAAAAATCACCATTTTCATACATTGTTTTCATGCTCCTTCACTTCATTAAACCTTATTTCATTGCCTTGAACATATTCAAAACAGGGACATTGATGTTCAACAGCTGGACATATGAATGCAATTCTTTTTGCTCCTTTATCAGTTTTCCTTCATCTTTGCATCTCTTTTTCTTTCTTTCTTGTCTGAGACTAGAATTTGATAACTCATTGTTTACCACTCAGGTGGTAACCTGAGCCACACCTTCAACCCCTTCCTTTCTCATAATTTTGTCCTAGCCTTGGGGCTTGAACTCGGGTACTAGGTGCTGCCCCTGAGCTTTTTTTGCTCAAGGCTAGCACTTTACCACTTGAGCCACAGCTCTACTTCTGGCTTTTTGATTGGTTAATTGGAGAAAAGAGTCTCTCAGATTTTCCTACCTAAGCTAACTTTGAATCAAGATCTGCAGATCTTAGCCTCCTGAGTAACTAGGATTACTAGTTATTCAATATTCAGTTGAATATTGAATATAATAAAAGCTGTCACTCCTGTAGTGTGTAGTCACTGTTGTCTCCACCAAGCTGTTTTGGTGAGTATTATTTTGTTTATTTGTGAGTCTGGCTGTCTAGGAGCCCATATTTCATGGGTTAGTTACCAGGCCAAACAGCTGGTTGACAGAGGTGCTCAACTACCTAGAACTAGTAAGCTTCTTTCCCAGGTTGACAGACTTGACCTTCAAAATCAGGTCAGGTCTCACCAGACACATGACTCCCATCTGTAATTCTAGCTGCTCAGAAGGCTGAGATCTAAGTATCATGATTCAAAGCCAGCCTGAGCAGGAATGTCCATGAGACTTACCTCCAATTAAGTACCAAAAAGCTACAAATGGAGCTGTGGCTTAAGTGGTAGAGAGCGATCTCAAGCCTTAAGTTCAAACACTAGTACTAGAAAAAAAAAAAATCACGTCTCTAAAACCTTTCATATCTGCCAGCCACATGTATACAGGCTCAGTACAGCAAGGAGAAAATTTTGCCTTGAGCTCTACAGTCTCTTCTGGTAATTCACATTTCACAGCCAAAAACAACTCGTGACAGGCAGTCATTGATCCACCACACCCATCCAGCTCAGTATTCCTCACTTCTGGTGGGCATATTTCTCTGTGTGAGTATTGCCCACCTCTCCACATTGAATTCTCCCCTCTTAGTCTCTGCATAGAAGGCTGTGTCCTCACAGCCTGTACTACCTTTATATCAACAGGCTTGGGGATCAGAGCAGTCCCAGGCTAGAATGCCTCAGATTCTGTGTTCATAAAGCTTTTTTTATTTTGCTGTTGTTGTTTGTGCAAGTTTTGGGCTTGAACTTGGCTTTACACTCTTCTTTAGCTTTTTCTACTCAAGGCTGGTGCTCTAGCACTTGAGCCAAACCTCTACTTCCTGCATTTGCTAGTTAATTAGAGATAAGAGTCTTTTGGATTTGTCTTCATGAGCCAGCTTTGAACCAAGATGATCAGGTCTGAGCTTCTTAAGTAGCTAGAATTACAGGTGTGAGCCACCAGTACCCAACTGGGTCTACTTTTTGATAGAGAGGTTGCTAAGACTGAAATTTGGGGACATGGTTTGCCTTCACATTCTGTTCATTTCCCCAGTGACATTGTCTTAACTATTAAGCCAAACAGATACCTCTAGAGTCGGGTGTCCATAGTGCAGACTTCCACCCCAGTCTAAAATTTCTAATGTCTGTGTGCTATTTACATGAATCCATATAAAGAACTTGACCAAACATTTAATGTGCTCTGTTTTGTTGTTGTGGGGTTTTTTTGTTTTTTGTTTTTTATTTTTTTCTTTTGCCGGGCCTGGGCACTGTCCCTGAGCCTGTCCATGCTCAAGGCTAGTGCTCTACCACTTGAGCCACACCACCACTTCCAGCTTTTTCTATTTATGTGGTACTGAGGAATCAAACCCAGGGCTTCATGCATGCTAAGCAAGCACTCTACCACTAAGCCACATTCCCAGCCCCTGTGCTCTGTTTTTATCATTAGATCCAAATCAATGTTTCCATCTGACTTTGTGCCTTTCACAGACTAGGAAGTAATTCTGATATCTGATTGGTCAGAATCAATGACCCCAGTAGGCTTGGCAATGTGGCTGTGTGTGTATGCGTGGGGAGGGCGTTGTGGGGGCTCAGTGGGAGAGAGAGAGACAGAGAGCAGGTACTGGGGCTTGAACTCCCAATCTCTTGACTTTTGCTCATGGCTTGCATTCTACCACTTGAGCCACACTTTCACTTCTGACTTTATGCTGGTTAATTAGAAATAAGAGCCTCATGGGTTTGTCTGCCCTGATGGGTTTTGAACTACGATCCTCAGATCTCAGCCTTCTAAGTAGCTAGTATTACAGGTGTGTCAGACACTGGTACCCTACCTGGTTTTATTTCCTCATACGTATTTATTTTCCTGAGAAATGATGAGTTGAATATATGGAGCCTAACACCCATTACATAGCAATTCCTCACTAGTTACCAGCACTGATGTTGGTAGTTTTAGGTGTGGGAGGGTTGAAGACTTTTTAAAATTATCTTTATGTAGTTGTACAAAGGGGTTTCAATTTAACATAGTAATTTATAAGTGCAAGGCTTCTTGATCAGTGTTACCTTCCTTTACTCTCTACTTATTGTTTATCAAAACTTACCTTCTTTTGCAGTATCTATCTTCTCCACATTATAAGGAAATAACAGGAGCTAAGGAGAGTTCTAGAGTCAGATCAACAGGCCTCAGGCCCTTCAGGTCACTTGTTCTCAGAAAACACTAGAATTTGGAGGAGTCACCATTTTTTTATGTAAACAAAAATTATGCATCTGTAATATTTTCATGGTGTACACAATAGATCAATTAGGGGAAATCAAATAATTAAATTTATAAACTTAGTATCTTATACTTCATTAAGGGAAGTTATTGTTTCTCCAGTTTCCATATCAATTTTTGGGCCCTGATTATTATTTTTTTTTTTTGTCCTGGGGCCTGAGAAACTCTGGGCCTGGGCACTGTCCCTCAGCTCTTCAGCTCAAGACTAGTGCTCTACCACTTGAGCCACAGTGCCACTTCTGGCTTTTTTTCTGCTTATGTGGTGCTGAGGAATTGAACCCAGGGCCTCATGCATGCAAGGCAAGCATTCTACCACTGAGTCACCTTCCCAGCCCACCCTGATTACTTTTTTCCTCATCTACAATAACAACTACTCAGTGAATTTCCCCATAGGTTCCTAGAACCCTATTGCTGTAGATTCATCTTGTAGCTTAGATTATGACAGCACTCTTGTGCACAAAAACCTCATTTTCCAAAAAAGCCTCCCTGTTTCCTTTTACTAAACATATGGTCAGTCACCACTGCCCTCCTGTTCCAGGACTTCTTTCTAGTCTTTCTCACTTTCCTTCCCACCAAACTGTGTACTGTAGGTGCTGCTCAGTGCTCTCCTGATGAAGCCTTCAATCATTTACTTGAATTGAATGCAAACACATCTCCTAATAAAGCATTCAGTACCCACCCCTCAGTGCCCTGATCATAGTATAAGTTCAATAAGAATTTAAATGAGATTTCTGCTTTGTATAACATGAATAGCACATCCTGTTTTCATCCTTTCTTCACTTGCAGACAAGGTGTACAAGCTTAATTTTGCCCTAAGAATTGGACTTTGGTTTTAATGAAAAATGTCTGGACCTAATGAAAACTAAAGTTTTCTGACAGATAGTAGGATGCCCAGATCTTGTCTCTCTCTTCTATGGAGTCATTTTTTTTTTTTGGTTGTTGTTCAATTCAGTTCATTTAGGATACTGTTACTATGAAATACTTCCTGCCGAATCCTAAGATATTTCATATTGTTGTGCTTAGTGGTCCTATTAAACAGGTGTGTCTTTAGAAAAATAGCTGAAGAATTATTTCATAATGTGACTTTGTAAATCCTAACAGTTGCTAATTAAAATGGCTCCTGACAACTTGGAATTTTCTTTTTTTTTTTTTTTTTGGGTCCAGTCGTGGGGCCTGAACTCTGGGCCTAGGCGCTGTCCCTCAGCTCTTCAGCTCAAGGCTAGCGCTCTACCACTTGAGCCACAGCACCACTTCCGGCTTTTTTCTTTTTTTTTTGGTCTGGTCATGGGGCCTGAACTCTGGGCCTGGGCGCTGTCCCTCAGCTCTTCAGCTCAAGGCTAGCGCTCTACCACTTGAGCCACAGCGCCACTTCTGGCTTTTTTCTTTCTTTGCTTGTGTGGTGTTGAGGAATCGAACCCAGGGCCTCAGGCATGCAAGGCAAGCGCTTTACCACTGAGCCATCTTCCCAGCCCAACTTGGAATTTTCTTGCTTAAAATTCTACTTTTTTTGTGGAGGTGGGAGGGAAGGGATAGTAGAGGAAAACAAAGGAGGAAGGCAACAATGCTTGATAAGAAATGTACTCGTTACCTTGCTCATGTAACTGTAACCCCTCTGTACAGTATTTTTTTTTTTTTGGGGGTCCGGTCGTGGGGCCTGAACTCTGGGCCTGGGCGCTGTCCCTCAGCTCTTCAGCTCAAGGCTAGCGCTCTACCACTTGAGCTACAGCGCCACTTCTGGCTTTTTTCTTTTTGCTTATGTGGTGCTGAGGAATCAAATCCAGGGCCTCAGGCATGCAAGGCAAGCGCTCTACCACTGAGCCAGTGGTACAGTATTGTACAGTATTGTTACAGTACTGTACAGTATTGTACAGTATTGTTACAATAAAAATGTACAAAAAAAAGAACACTAAAAAAAAATTCTACTTTTTTGTGGGGAGGGGCGTTTGGAGGGAGTGCAGGACAGTGGTGCTCATACTAGGACCTGAAGTCAGAGCCTCACACTGCTATGGATGATGCTCTTCCACTTAAGCCACATCTCCACTTTGGGCTTTTTGGTGGTTAATTGGAGATAATAGCTGAGCTTCCTGAGTAGAAACATTATAGGCATAAGCCACCTGGTTTCTGCTTGATTTTTTTTTTCCCCTTTCTGTTTCTATACACAATGTATACTCTTCAGACTTTAATGCTATAAAAATAAAGGGGTATTTTAAAATGCCTATTCTGTAGCTCCTCTACCCCAAATTATGATTTTTCACCCCAAGTTCTGATTTCATAGATTGGGATAAGATTCATAAATGTGCCTTTTTAAATTTTTTATTGCTGTTATAAAGGTGATGTCCAAGAAGAGTTTACGTTTGCATAAGTCAGGTAAAGAGTACGTGTTTGGGTCTGGGAGTGTGACTTAGTGATAGAGTGCTTGCCTAGCACTCATGAAAGAAGCCCTCAGACCACATAAACAGAAAAAGCCAGAAGTGGCGCTGTGGCTCAAATGGTAGAGTGCTAGCCTTGAGCAAAAAAAGCTCAAGGATGGCACTTAGGCTCTGAGTTCAACCCCTAGGACTTGGAGAGGTGGGGGAGGGGAGGAGAAAGAGAGAGAGAGAGAGAGAGAGAGAGAGAGAGAGAAAGTTCTTTCTTTAAAAAAAAACAAAAACAACCAATCCTGGGGCTTGAACTCTGGGCCTGGGCCCTGTCCCTGAGCTCTTTTGCTCAAGGCGAGCACTCTACCACTTGAGCCACACTGCCATTTCCTGCTTTTTTGAGAGGTTAATTGGAGATAAGAGTTTCCTGCCTGGGCTGGTTTTGAACCATGATCCTCAGATCTGAACCTCTTGAGTAGCTAGGATTACAAGCGTGAGCCACAAGTGCCTGGCTTATGTGTACCTTTCTTTTTGGACAATGCCACCCCTTCCCTCTCTCTCTCTCCCAGTTTTTCCCTCCCATCCCCACCCAGAAGTTCATAAATGTACATTTTGTATGTGTATGTGTGTGTATATGTGTGTGTGTGTGCATGTGCTTGTTCTGGGGCTTGAACTAAGGGACTGGGTACTGCCCCTGAGCTTTTGCACTCTACCCAGCAAGCCATAGTTTTGCTTCTACCATTTTGGTGGTTAACTGTAGATAAGAATTTCAGAAGGGTTGGGAAGGGGAAACAAAGGAGGAGGCTACAATGCTTGATAAGAAACGTACTCATTACCTTGTAATTATAACCCCTCTGTACAAAAAACAACAAAAAAGAATTTCACAAACTTGCCTGCCTGGGCTGACTTTGACTTTGATCCTCAGCTTGCAGCCTCCTGAGTAGCTAGGATTACAGGTGTGAGTCACTGGCAAATCTGCATTTTTAAAGCCTCTTGGGTATTGCTAATGAAAGTTAGGCTCAGCTACAATATGTACACATTGTTCTTGATGAGAGTTTATCATATAGTGAGTCTTTTGTTGTCTTGGTATATATGCCAATACTAGGGCTTAAACTCTTGGCCCCACTGTCCCTTAGCTTTTTTTGCTGAAAGGTAGTGTTCTACCACTTGAGCAAACAGCTCTACTTTGGCTTTTTAGTGGTTAATTGCAGATAAGAGTCTCAGATATGTCTACCAAGGCTGGCTTTAACCCTGATCCTAAGGTCTCAGTCTCCTGAGTAGCTAGGATTTCAGGCATGAGCCAGTGGCGCCCAGCTAAGGGTTTTTAAATGACTAATGCGATTTTGTAATGTTTTCTTTAAACTCTGCTCACTTTAGAAACAGAAGGTCTGTGGGAGCTTAACTTTACAACATCACATGCTAGAACCTGTTCAGCGGATTCCACGGTATGAGATGCTTCTTAAGGACTACCTAAGAAAATTGCCTCCTGACTCTCCAGACTGGAATGATGCAAAAAGTAAATGTTTTTTATATTTTACATCCCTCACTCCATTATAGGATAACCAAACTTACTTGTGGGTCCGGTATTTGACCATTTCTTTGGTCAGATATTGCTCTCAAAATAATTACACTGGAAATTATAATTGTCACCTCAGTCAGGCAAACCACTTTGGATAATCCAAGTCACAGGTTGGGAGTAGTGCAAATCACATTTCCTGCTCTGAGTTCACATTAATCACTAACTGAAATATAAAACTGCAGACCTAGAGACATCTGAAACAGCAATATACAATTACCTTTTTCCAGAAAGAGCACAATCATTTGAAATCACAAGTGCTGCTGTTTTAATTAGATAGGTTGATGCAGAGCAAGAAAGCTAGGATGACATTTATCCTGTAAAAATAACCTAAGCAGAGTTGGCTTTACCTACCCTAAGATAAAACAGGAAACGATGCCTTTTGTTGTCTAATGACATTGGCCTCAAGAAAATTTACTCCAATTACTAGTTTGGTTTTTTTTTTAATCAGGTTGAAATGAAAGTGACTGGTGGTTTTGTTTTGTTGTTGTGTGTGCCTGTCCCTGGGGTGTAAACCCAGACGCTGGAAGCTGTCCTTGAGCTTTTTTATTTAACGTTTGTGCCCTACTACTTAAGCCACTGCTCTACTTCTGACTTTTTGGTGATCACTTGGGAGATAAGAATCCATTGGGTTTATCTGCCCTGCTGACTCTGTACCGTGATCTTCAGACCTCAGCCTCCTAAGTAGATAGGATTACCTGTACAGGTATGAGCTACTAGGTTTCAGCTGGGGGGTGAGGGGGTTTGTTTGTTTGTTTTGTTTTTGTTTTTTGTATGAAGGCTTGAACTCAGGACCTGTTTTTTAAGTTGCTCTTGGTTTAAGAAAAGAGGAGCAGAAAACATTATCTTTGGCCTGGGAGCCATTTTCTTGTTTTGGAAGTAGAAGGTCTCCAGTATGTTTCACTCACCATCCAAATGACTCAGTGACCACAGAAATATCTCTTTCCCCTTTCTCCCATATGGTTGTGAATTTGACTTCCCATCTTCCCCTTGCCTTCTACTTTCTGGGAATTCTGCCACATCCGCCATTTTCCACTCATCTAGCCTGAGTGCTAGGCTTTAGTGGCAGAGCTATCAGTAGATTAGAGGTGGAATCATGGATTCCTTCCAAGGATCACTTGGTCAGTGGCCCCATCCCTTCTTACAGTTTCTCCCTCTTTCTTGGATTCTGTATTTGGTACAGGATTGCACAGAATTGCCCACATCTGGACAGTTCTCAAACATGTAGATGAAAAGGCTGTATTTTTCCTATATGATACCTTTTATCAAAAATGAAAATGCTCCAGGCACTGTTAGTTCATACCTGAAATCCTAGCTACTCAGGAGGCTGAGATTTGAGGATCCCAGTTTGAAGCCAGACCAGGCAGAAAGTCCATGAGATTTACTCCAATTAGCCAGCAAAAAGCCAGAAGTGGAACTGTGGCTCAGGGGGTAGAGTACCAGCCTAGAGCAGAAAAGTAAGGGATCGCAAAGTCTCTGAATTCAAGCCCCAGTACTAGCACAAAACCAAAAAAAAATTTTTTAAGAAAGTTATGGACAAAGTAGGACAATTTATTGCTCTTTTTGCCTTCCTCTTGCTACTTATACATAAAGGTCTAAAGAAATTTAAAAAAAAAGAGCTTCTAGAGACCTAAAAACAGAAGGGGCAGGAGCAGAGTGCAAAGACAGCAAATGTAGGCCAGAAGCCATGGGTTGTTGTGGTAACGGAGTTAAATAGGCCAGTGTTTGCAAGACGGAAAGGAAGTGAAACAGGATTTAGAACTAAGACTTATTCCTTTGGATTGATCCAACAGCAGCCCTTGACTTCCTCTGCAGTGGCTGGAACTCCTACAATGCCTCTGGCAAAGAATTTCTTCCCAGGCTGGATGCTAGTAACTCACACCTATAATCCCAGCTAGTCTGGAGGCGGAGATCTAAAGATCTCATTCAGAACCAGTCTGAGCAGACAAATCCTAGAGATTCTATCTCTAATTAACTACCAAAATGAAAGAACTGGAGGTCTGGGTCAAATGATAGAGGGCTGATCTTGATTGGAAAAAGCTAAGCAAGAGTTCAAGATTGAGTTCAAGCCCTAGTACTATACAAAAATAGAGAAAGAGAAAGAGTTCCTATTCCCCAGCCTAGAACTGTCACATATTTTCCCACATGAAGTTTGGTTATGCTTAGTAATTTTCCAAAGAAAAATGTAATATATTATTTACTGCCTTTGAAATGTGACCAAACTTTGAGTCAAAAGACTTAGATTTCATTGAGATCCAGTAACATATGATGACCCTGGACCAACTGATTATGATCTTGGTAAAGTTACTTGTTCCTCACTTCTTTCATCTACCAAACAGAGCTAATGTCACTGTAAGACCATTTAAGGTTGTATAAGAACTAATTAGTATACAGTAAGCCCTATTAGGTCCCCTAGGGGAGATGGTTCATGCATGCCTGAAACTGTACATTGTGCTTGTTAATTTTTTTCTAAGACCTATGATGGACCAAGTATGGCCTGTGAGCCTATTTTTTTTTCCTTTTATATGGAGCTGCCTAATGTTTAAGTACTCACTCCGCTTACAAAGTTTTGAAAGTAATCCAGTTTGTAAAGTGGAAGTTGCTGCTATTCCCCTGGTATTTCAGATTTCTTTTTATTTTGGTGGATAAGTTATTCAATTACTCACTAGCACAGGAAGTACAAAGCATATTTATTTCCTTTTCTTTTTTTTCCCATTTAGAATCACTTGAAATTATTTCTACAGCAGCAAGCCATTCTAATAGCGCAATAAGAAAAATGGTAAGTGGTTTGCAGAGGAGACAGGAACCTTCTGGACAGACAATTGTTAATGACATAGCCTAATACTGTCTGTAGGTTTGAACCTAGTCAACAGAGGTGAACCAAAAAAACGTTTGCAAAGTATGTCTAGTGTTCTCTGGAATAAGCCTCTCTCTGGTTTCCTTTTGTTGATGCATTTTAAAAATGCATCAGCCAGACACTGATAGCTCAGGCCTTTATTCATAGCTACTCAGGAGGCTGAGATCTGAGGATCACAGTTTAAGGCCAGCCCAGGAAGGAAAGTCCATGAGACTCTTATCTCCAATTAATCACCCAAAAAGCTGCAAGTGGAGCTGTAGCATAACTGGTAGAATGCTAGTCTTGAGCAAAAAAAGCTCATAGACAGCAGCTAGACCATGAGTTCAAGCCTTAGGATTAGCACACATGTGCCACACACACACACACACACACACACACACACACACACACTCAAACACACAAACACATCTGCTTATTCCCCACTCTTCTGTTCTGCAGATTGTAGTCACAGTGATAGTACTGTTCAGGTTACTAAGGTAAAAAACTTCCTTGTAGTTGATCTTGCTTTATTTTGTTTTAATTTTCCAGGAAAACCTGAAGAAACTCTTGGAGATTTATGAAATGTTGGGAGAAGAAGAAGACATTGTAAATCCTTCTAATGAACTAATAAAAGAAGGACAGATCCTCAAACTCGCTGCTCGGAACACCTCAGCACAAGAACGCTACCTTTTCTTAGTGAGTATTGAATACAGTGACAGAAAATTCCTGAAAAAAACATTTTCTGAAAGCATCATATACATCCTGGAAAAGTAGGATGCTTGCTTGCTCCTCAAAGTTGGTACCGCTAACTTGGTTTAGTTGGCCCTGTCAGGATTCCGTGTAAGAATATTCTTTTTTTTCTTTTTTCTGGCCAGTCATGGGGCTTGAACTCAGGGCCTGGGCACTGTCCTTGTGCTTCTTTATTCAAGGCTTAGACCCTCCCCCTTGAGCCACAGTGCCACTTCTGGCTTTTTCTATTTATGTGGTACTGAGGAATTGAACCTTGTGCTTCATGTATGCTAAGCAAGCACTCTATCACTGAGCCACAATCCTAGCCCCCATATGAGAATATTCTAAGTAACTGCTTTATTGTTTTCTATACTTAATGGTAAGAATCTGCTAAGTAGCACATAGTAAAGTCAACTTAGCCTTTCTGCAATCGTAGCCAACAGTGAAAGAATGGTATGCTTTCTGAAGCCCTCTTTTTTGATGATTTTAATTGTCTCTTTTCTTTCATTCTTTTTTGTTGTTGTTTGTTTTTGTGCCAGTACTGGAGGAACTCAGGATCTCACAGTCTTGCTTTTCTTTTTCACTCAAAGCTGGCACTTGAGCCATACCTCTCCTTCCAGCTTTTAGCTGGCTAATTGTAATTAAGAGTCTCTCAGATTTGTTTGTATGGGCTTGGAACCTCAATCCTCATATCTCAGCCTGATGAGTAGCTAGGATTACAAGCATGAGCCACCAGTACCCCTCTCTTCCTTTCATTCGTGTGTGTGTCTGTGTCTGTCTGTGTGTGTGTGTGTGTGTGTGTGTGTGTGCGTGTGTGTTGGTCCTGGGGATTGAACTCAGGGCCCAGGCAATGGTCATGAGCATTTTTGTTCAAGCCTTTACCACCTGAGCCACAGCTCTACTTCTGGATTTTTTGGTGTTAATTGGAGATAAGGGTCTCATGGATATTCCTGCCTAGGCTGGCAGGAACCACGATCCTCAGATCTCAACCTCATGAGTAGCTAATATTACAGACGTGAGCCACCAGTGCCCACCTTCTCCTTTCATTCTCAGGCTTATTGGACTCATTTTCTGGATATTTGACAACAGACTGTATCCTTTGACAATAGTTTTAATCCTCTGCAGTCAACTATTTTTAATTGGGGCTGGGAAGGTGGCTCAGTGGTAGAGCGCTTGCCTTGCATGCATGAGGCCCTGGGTTCGATTCCCCAGCACCACATAAGCAAAGAGAAAAAAAGCCGGAAGTGGTGTTGTAGCTCAAGTGGTAGAGTGCTAGCCTTGAGCTGAAGAGCTAAGGGACAGCACCCAGGCCCAGAGTTCAGGCCTCATGACTGGACCCCCCCCAAAAAAACAAAACTATTTTTAATCATTATTGGTTTTTTAAAAAGCCCAACAACTGTACAGTTGAGATTGTAAAACTTGTATGCCAAATGCCTTTCAGTTTCTTTTTAGTCAGTCCTTGTCACTTCCCTTGCTATCTGGAAATGACAGTCCACCTAGGGCTCATTTTCAATTAAGAGCTCTTCCTGGATACATAAGCCATTTTATTTTATTCTCTGTCCACATGACCTACATTCTTTGTTACCCTAATGAATTCCAATTCCTCTCTCTATCTAAATGGACAATATGGGTCCCCTAACAACCAGCATTGACAGCGTAAAGCTCACACTGAATCACTGCTCAAGAAATGTTAGCTGTTATTCTTGACTTTTGTTAAAGGCACAGAAATGGATATATTGATAAAGAGGCTGACTGCCTACTAGCTGCCTTCACTGCTGCCAGAAATACATTTTGCCTGACATACCTTGAGTTCTTCTAAAGGACTGAGAGGTTTCTGCCAGCTCTTTCCAACCTTCTTTGAAAGGAAAATCTTATGGGAACTGTTGCCCCAAGGAATTTCAAGTATCTTGCCATCATTTTTTTGGCTATACTGTATGGCCAGCCATTCCATTTTAAGTTGTTGAACTCAAAAGAATAAAAAAGGAAGAAAGAAAAAGAAAAGAGCCAACATATTAAAACATATGTCCTCACAAAGAGACAGTGTGATATATTTATGCAATGGATATTACATAGCAGTGAGTAAAGTAACATGCTGTATGGATAAACATTGAAAACATTTGGCAAGCCGGGCGCTGGTGGCTCACGCCTGTAATCCTAGCTACTCAGGAGGCTGAGATCTGAGGATCGCGGTTCAAAGCCAGATCTGAGGATCGCGGTTCAAAGCCAGCCCAGGCAGGAGAGACCGTGAGACTCCTATCTCCAATAAACCACCAGAAAACCGGAAGTGGCGCTGTAGCTCAAGTGGTAGAGCGCTCGCCTTGAGCTGAAGAGCTGAGGGACAGCACCCAGGCCCAGAGTTCAAGCCCCACGACCGACAAAAAAAAAAAAAAGAAAGAAAACATTTGGCAAGTAAAAGAAGCCAGTAGATAGTGTCTCAAGTGATAGAGCAGTAGCCTTGAGCACAAAAGCTAAGTAAGAGTATAAGGTCCTGAGTTCAAGACCCAGTATCAGCACAAAAAAAGATTAATTAAAAAAGAAGCCAGTCACAAAAGGATACATACTATATGATTCCATTAATACGAAATGTCCAGAATATGCAAATTTATAGAGATGGGGCTTAATTAGTGATTTGTCTAGGGCTGATGTAGAGAAGAAAAGATACATTATAGAATCATAGAATGTTCTGGAATTAACTGGTAGTAATTCTGAAGTTACCGATGGTTTTTAATAGTATAGTAAATTCTACTATTGAATTGTATATTCTTGGGTAAATTTGCTAGGTGTACTAATAGCTTATGCGTATAATCCTAGATACTTGGGAGGCTGAGATCCGAAGATCACAGAAAAGCCAGCCCAGGCAGGAAAATCTGTGAAACTCTTATCTCCAATTAACCGCAGAAACACTGAAGTGGAATTGTGGTTCAAGTGGTAGAACACCAGTGTTGAGGAGAAAAGCTAAATGAGAGTGTGAAGCCCTGAGTTCAAGGCTTAGTACTACCACGAAAAAGTAAATGTTATGATATGTGAATCTATTCTCAATATACTTTTTAATGTATAGATATTGTTTAAATTAACTAGAAAAAAATCCCTATTTAAGCTAAATAGAAGTACTTCACCTTTCCCAGGTTATATTGAAAACTAAATGGAGAGTAAGTATATACTACAATCATGTTGCGGTTCTGAATTTCTACTCAGAAGTCTATGATAAAAATAATAGTTTTTGTTTTGTAGTTTTTGTTTGGAACTCAGGATCTGGGTGCTGTTCTTGAGCTTTTTTGCTCAAGGCTAGCACTTGAGCTATAGCTCTTCTAGTTTTCTGGTGGTTAGTTGGAGATAAAGAGTCTCACAGGCTTTTCTGCCCAGGCTGGCTTCAAACCACAATCTTCAGATCTCAACCTTCTGAGTAGCTAGGATTATAGGTATGAACCACCAGTGCCCAGTTTAAAAATAGTATTTAGGGCTAGGGATACAGCTCAATATTAAAGTACTTGCCTAAACATAATAAGACCCGGGTTCCATCTCCAGCTCTGCAAAATATATGTGTATCTATATAAATGGTATATTCAGTTATGCTTAAGGATGTGATGGACATTAAAAACAGAGGTCTGGAGAAGAGGAACATGACTCCCTTGCAGGGGGTTTCTGGGGGGCACAGTGAAGAGACAGTGAGAGAAAACATGGAGAGGAGCCTTTATGGTTTCCATAAGGAACACTGGACAAGACAGAGTGCAGGATGTGGGAGGATCTTGCTTCAATGATTCCAGGGGGTGTTGTTGTGTAGGAGCTGTTGTCTGCTTACCTGGACCTCAGGGTGGAAATAGAGTCCTAGCTTGATAACAAGGGTGATTGGGGGTGTTGGCCCTTCTGGCCTGGTTGAATTCCTTCTGTATGGAAGCTGTGCTCACAAGAGAGTTGGATACTCTTCTTGGAATTAGATTATCTGGAAGGATTTCTTCTTTAGTGTCTGCAAGCCCGAAGATGTTAATACATTAATATGAAGTAAATCCAGGCCAAGGTGACTTATATCTGTAATCCTAGTCACTCAGGAGGCTGATTATCTAGGGAATCAAGATTTGAAGCCAGCCCAGGCAGAAATTAGCTGGCAGAAAAACCAGACTAGAGGTATGGCTCAAGTGGTAGAGAGCCTGCTTTAAGAAAGCTGTGAGAACACAAAACACTGAGTTTAAGTCCCAGTAACATTATTTATTTTGTAAAATAAAATACATAATAAAAAGATTTGCTCAGCTGGGTGCTGATGGCTGATGCCTATAATCCTAGCTACTCCAAAGTTGAGATCTTGGTGTCATGGTTCGAAGTGAGCCCAGACAAAAAAGTCCATGAGATTCTTATCTCCAATTACCTAGCAAAAACAGTATTGCTGTGGAAGTATAGCTATGACTCAATTGGTAGAGCACTACACCTGAGAGAAATAGCTTAGGGACAGCAGCCAGGCCTTAGTTCAAGCCCAGAACTAGCCCCTTCCCCCCAAAAAAGAAGGAAAGAGGAAGGGAGGAAGGAAGAAAGGAAGAAAGGAAAGAAAGCAAGCAAACAAAAAAGAAAAAAAGACATGCTCAACATAAAATTCTGAGTAAAGGGCTGGGAAGGTGGCTCAGTGGTAGAGCGCTTGCCTTGCATGCCCGAGGCCTTGGGTTCGATTCCTCAGCACCACATAAGCAAAAAGAAAAAAGCTGGAAGTGGTGCTGTGGCTCAAGTGGTAGAGTGCTAGCCTTGAGCTGAAGAGCTGAGGGATAGCGCCCAGGCCCAGAGTTCAGGCCCCACGACCCAACCCAAAAAAAAAAAAAAATTCTGAGTAAAATTCCTGGAAATTAATGTCTCTTTCTGTCTTTGTAGATATTCAGATCACTGTACATTCTTCCTCTTAAGTGTTAACAGTTTTTGTTCTTAAACATTCAGTTCTGTTTCTATTTAACCAATGAGCTTAAACTTTTACATGGGAGAATTCTTTTAGATATAGTTGCAGGCCGAATATCTTGTTGTCTAGCCCAATTAAGCTGCTGTTTGGAAGAGAGGTGGCAAAGAGCCTTGGGGGGAAATGGGCAATAAGTGACTGCCCAAGATGGTCTTGTTCCAATTACTGTTGGCCATCAAACATAACACCGTCACTCCCAGGAGAAGGAAGTCATGTGGCCGGAGCTTTGGCCAAGTCACATTCATTCATCTTTTGAAGGTCATCTTAGAAAGCTTTGCCAGTGTGAAGTTCATTTCATGAAGACAAGACTGAAACTTTCCGTGTGTGTTCCCTGCTGTTTTCTATATAGAACAAAGCACCACATTTCTTGTCTTTTCTCTTTAGAGAGAAAAATGAGAATGTTTTCTCTTTCCTATTCCTTGACTATTTTATTTGGCTAAAAAGCCAAAATATAGTTAGAATCTGACTTTTACATTAAAATGATCTCAAAGTGTTTGTATATTTGCTTGCCTCCACACAGTCTGCTCACAGTCCCCCCCTCCCTTTTTTTTTTGTTGTTGGTCATAGGGCTTAAACTCAGAGTCTGAACACTGTCTCTGAGTTTTTTCACTGAAGGCTAGCACTCTACCACTTAGAGCCACTTCTGGTTTTCTGGGAGTTAGTTGGATAAGAGTCTCACAGACTTTCCTGCCCAGACTGGCTTTGAACCATGATCCTCAGATCTCAGCCTTCTGAGTAGCTAGGATTACAGGTGGACATAGATATATATCTGTATATACAATATATGTGTATATATACTATAATATGAATAGACTATATATGTATATATAGTATGTATGTATATATTATATATGGTATATATAGCATACTGTATATACTGTATATATATATAGATATCTATGTCCACCTGTATAGCCATATAGCTATGTAGTATATATATAGATATATATCCATGTGTATAGATGTATCTATATCTATGTCTAGATATCTATATATAGATTCTATATAGTTATGTATAGATCTATACACTGATCTGTGTATATTAAATATGTCATGATATTATATATTTTATGATATAGTATAGATATGAAATAAATGTATCTATACGTATGTGTATAGATATGCTTAAGATGTGTATAGATATGTGTATACACATCTGTGTATATCATGAGATACATGTAGCTATACACATATGTGTAGATATATATCTATACATTTATGTGTATATCATTTGATTATGGTTATAATTTTTCAACATATCCTTACTGACCATTTAAAGTATGAAGTCCCACTGAGGAATGCAAAGTCCCTATATAAAGGGACCGTTGTCCTGAAAGCATGAAAGTGTGAGTTCTGTCCTTAAATTAGTAAGTAGCTCTGTATCCCACCCAACATGCAGAGTCCAACCCAGATTTCCTCCTAAGGAAGAAAAGCAACATTAATTAACTTGGAAAGTCAGCAATCAAGATGCTGCCTTGCTCAAACTGTGACAGGGATCATCTGAGAACCTTTAGGAGTGTTTTGAATCTCTTAAGTCCTGCACGGAAGGGTGATGGCCACACTCTGAGGATCATGGGGAGTTAATCATAAGGCATTGGTCCTTTTCTAGAAATGTATATGTAACGTGAATAATGGGATTTCTATAAGGTGTGTTTTAGTGCCCTTTTCCTCCACTGTCCATTGTGGAGCTGACATTTATGATAGAGAGACTATAGAAAGTTACAGAATGACAAAGGAGAAACAACCAGCAGGGAAGTGGTTTCACAAAGGGTGGCTAGCCACTCAGGAGGCTGAGAACTGAGGATCAAGATTCGAAGCCAGCCTAGTCAGACATCAGAGGCTGTTTTCTCCAATTAACCCATAAAAACCTAGAAGTGGAATCATAATTCAAGTGGCAGAGCACTGGCCTTGAGCAACAAAGCCAATCAAAGCTGGCACGAACGGCTTCACACTGGCAAAGCTTTCTAAGATGACCTTGGCCAAAGCTCCGGCCACATGACTTCCTTCTCCTGGGAGTGACGGTGTTATGTTTGATGGCCAACAGTAATTGGAACAAGACCATCTTGGGCAGTCACTTATTGCCCATTTCCCCCCAAGGCTCTTTGCCACCTCTCTTCCAAACAGCAGCTTAGTTGCTGCTCAAGATACTCAACCCGCAACTATATCTAAAAGAATTCTCCCATGTAAAAGTTTAAGCCCATTGGTTAGATAGAAACAGAACTGAATGTTTAAGAACAAAACTATAACACTTAAGAGGAAGAATGTATAGTGATCTGAATACCTGTAAATAGGATTATATCCTACCTACTTGGGAGGCTGAGATCTGTGAATCATGGCTCAAAGCCAGCCAGTACAGGAAAAGTCTCCAGTTAATCAGCAAAATGCTGGAAGTGGAGCTGTAGCACAAGTAGTAGAGCAGTAGCCTTGAGCAAAAAAGTCCAGGGACAAGCCTAAGCCTTGAGTTCAAGCACACACACACACACACACACACACACACACACACACACACACACACACACACACACACAATAATAAAGCCAAGCAAGACTGTGAGGCCATGAGTTCAAGACACAGTTTTAGCACAAATAAAAACAATGAGTAGGGTGAATAGTGTCACATGCACATATTGGGATGTTCCGAGTATCCATTGGTGTTTCATGTCTTGGTAATGGCAGGAAGCATGGTATGAGCAAAAGACCAGGCAAGAAGGATCCAAAATCAAACCTTAGAAGAGTGTACAATTAGATAACTCAAAGCGCTGTTGTAAATACTTCCCATGTGTGTATTGCAGATGATTTCTCCTGATGTATAAGGGTTGACTGCTCAGCTAGTATGGGAGCTTGTATACTCAGTCTACAATAAGTAGTACAGAGAGTAATTTATGTGTTTGTGCCAGTACTAGGTCTTGAACTCCAGGCCTTGTGCCTTTGCTTGGCTTTTTCACTGAAGACTGATATGTATCACTTGCCATACCTCCATGTCCAGCTTTTTACTGGGTAATTAGAAATAAAAGTCCATGAAATTGTTTTCTGGGCTGGTATTTAATGGGGATTCTCAGATCTCAGCCTGTTGAGTAGCTAGCAGTACAGGTGTGAGCCACCAGTGCCCAGCTCTTTCCTTTATTTTCCTGTTTATTGATCTTGTGTTGTCTTTCCTTGCAGTTCAACAACATGTTGCTGTACTGCGTGCCCAGATTCAGCTTGGTGGGCTCAAAATTCACAGTTAGGACCAGAGTTGGCATTGATGGGATGAATATCATAGAGACACAGAATGAAGAGTATCCCCATACTTTCCAGGTGTCTGGGAAAGAGAGGACGCTGGAACTGCAGGCCAGGTGAGCAAACTTTCCATTCCTGTCCCAGCTTTCTGCACTATCAGAATAAATCCTAGGACAGGATGATGTTGAGGTTTCTCTCCCCATGAGTGAATGCCTTTTCCTCTGGCATCCTCAGAGGATTTAAACAGAGAGCTGGGAGGTCTTTCCCATTATTTCACTCCTAGAGCCATGCAGACAAGCAAACATACAATCAGAAAACTCTTTAGAATGGCAAGGTACTCACAGCATGAGGTTGATGGAGTCCAGTTAGAATTTGTGGATGTGGGTGCATGTGCACCCACACGCCAGACACCCATGCCTCACGCCTGTAATCCTAGATACTCCTGAGGCTAAGATTTGAGGATTGCAGTTGGAAGTCAGCTGGGCAGGAATATCCAAGAGACTCTTATCCCCAATTAATCACCAAAAAAGCTGGAAGTTGAATTGTGGCTCAAGTGGTAGAGTGCTAGCTTTGAACAAAAAAAGTTCAGGGACAGCTCCCAGGACCTGAGCTTAAGACTCAGGACTAGGGGAAGGAAAAAAAAAAAATGTGTGTGTGTGTGTGTGTGTGTGTGTGTGTGTGTGTGTGTGTGTGTGTGTGTGTGTGTTGGTACTGAGACTTGAGCTCACCCCTTTACTTTTTTTGCTCAAGGCTGGCACTCTACAACTTTAGTCACACTTCCTCTTCCAGCCTTGTGCTGGTTAGTTGTAGATAGGGTCTTAAGGACTTACACCTGAGCTGTCTTCAAACTTAAATCCTCAGATCTCATCCTCCTGAGTAGCCAGGCATACAGGTATGGGCCACCTGCACTGGCTCTAAGGTTTCTTGATTTGCCTAAAGGAAGACTTAAGCCCTTCTGTAAGCTAGTTGGGGCTCATTGGAACTTTCTTAAGAATATACTATTCCAGTTAGTATTAGAAACATGGTAATTCTTCCTTAAGTTTCTTTTTTTTATTTTTTATATTGTGAAAATACTGTACAGAGAGGTTACAATTACATGGTCAAGATAATGAGTACATTTCTTATCAAGCATTGTAGTCTCCTCCTTAGTTTCCCCTTCCCATCCATTCCCATCCTCCCCAATCCTCCCTACCTCCCCTTCCTTAAGTTTCTTTTCTTTCTTTCTTTTCTTTTTTCTTTTTTTGGTTGTGGGACTTGAACTCTAGGCCTGGGCGCTGTCCCTTAGCTCTTCAGCTCAAGGCTAGTGCTCTACCATTTGAGTCACAGTGCTACTTCCAGTTTTCTGAGTGGTTTATTGGAGATAAGAGTCTCAGGGACTTTCCTACCCAGGCTGGCTTTGAACCGCATTCCTCAGGTCTCAGCCTCCTGAGTAGCCAGGATTACAGGCATGAGCCACCAGTGCCTGGCTTTAATTTTCTTATTTATTTCAGTGGACTGCAAGTTATATTTATGATAATATGGTGCTATCGTAAATCTGAATTAAGTGACTATAGTCTATCTGGTCTACAATGGCTCCCAAAAATGGAGATAAATAGGGAAGGCTCAAGAAAGGATTTCTTCAAGGTTTCTTTACCTTCATCAAGATTTATCAGGATTCTAAAAGTTGGATGTATATTTGGAGATAGAAAATTTGCTTCTAAAGCAAAATGGCAAAAAAAGGCTCCCACTTTTTTTCTTGCTGAGGTATAAATCATCTTCAAGATTGGTCTCTTAATTTGTACCTCCTTTTCCGCATTTAAAACCACATTATAAGCCAAGCAGGGTGATATACATCTGTAATCCCAGCACTAGATACGTGAAGGCAAGATGATCATGGTTATTACCAGCCTGAGCTTCATAGTAGCATCCTATCTCTAAACTGAGGACGTCGCTGAGCAGCAGAGTACTTGCTAGCATATTCAAGGCCATAGGTTCAATCCTCAGCATCTCTCCCCACAAAAAAAGAAAGTATAGGGGCTGGGAAGTTGGCTCAGTGGTAAAGCGCTTGCCTTGCATGCCTGAGGCCCTGGGTTCGATTCTCAGCATCACATAAGCAAAAAGCCGGAAGTGGCGCTGTGGCTCAAGTGGTAGAGCGCTAGCCTTGAGCTGAAGAGCTGAGGGACAGTGCCCAAGCCCAGAGTTCAGGCCCCACAACCGGACCCAAAAAAAAAGAAAGTATATATGTACCAATACATTACATAGTACCCTATTAACATGCATGTTTTATGTATGAGTTCAAAACTGAAATAAAGGAAAAAAGATTCTGTTTCATATAGTTCTTAGGCCATAGTTTTCTTTTTTTTTCTTTTTTTTGGGGGGGGGTCCGGTCGTGGGGCCTGAATTCTGGGCCTGGGTGCTATCCCTCAACTCTTCAGCTCAAGGCTAGCACTCTACCACTTGAGCCACAGCACCACTTCTGGCTTTTTTTCTTTTTGCTTATGTGATGCTGAGGAATCGAACCCAGGGCCTCATGCATGCAAGGCAAGCGCTCTACCACTGAGCCACCTTCCCAGCCCCTAGGCAATAGTTTTCAACTGTGAAATTATTTTTAAAATATAATAGTAAGCAAAGCATTGGGAAGCTTTTATTTCTGAAAGATAAAATTGAAATTCTCAGAATAAGCAGCATCTTCCTGTAGCATGCTTAGATTTCCTAGCATGGCAGTATTTAATAAAAATATTTTTTTCTGGGAGGGAGGCACTGGTGGTTCACATTTGTAATCCTAGCTACTCAGAAGGCTGAGATTTGAGGACAAGGTTCAAGGTTAGCCTACTAGACAAAACTGAGAGGCTCTTATCTCCAGGTAGCCATGAAAAAATTGGAGTGGAGATGTGGCTCCTGAGTTCAAGCCTCAGTACCAGCACTAAAAGTAAATAAATAAACGAATGTTGGAGAGGTGTATGTTGTCACAGGAATTGGCCTTTGACTGGGTTCATACTTATTTATACTTATCAAACTATCACTCCACTTAGAGCTTACACTTGCCTCTCTCTCACCAAACATGCAAACAAATCATTCCATGTATAGATCCTAGGTCAATTCAGAGTCTGCTACAGGACATTTTTCAAACACAGTGTATAACCACAGCTATATAAGCTATATAAGCTACCTGCAAAAGAGAAGAAAATGTGCAGTAACAGGAGAAAGCGTGGTCCATGCCTGTAATCCTAGTTAGTCCAGGAGACTGAGATATAATGACCAGGGTTCAAAGCCAGCTGGGGCAGGAAAGTCTCAAGAATTTTATCTCCAGTTATCTAACGAAAAGCCAGAAGTAGAGGTATAGCTCAAGTGGTAGAACGCCAGCCTGCTAGCTTCACTAAGAAAAAGCATAAGAACTTGACTAAAGTCAAGGAATGTTTTTTTCCCTAAAGAAAAATTACTAAACCCTGGGGTCCCTAAATCTGACTTAAGTTTTTGACTATTCTGTCTTATCTTTAATAGGTTGGGTAGGGTACTGTCTGGGCCTCTAAGGAATAGGAAAATAAAAATTGTCAAGGGAAATGTTAAGTAGCTCCCCAAGTCCTTTTGAAGATATAAGATTACAAGAATAATTGTTACCTTTCCTGAGATGGGCTGTGGCCAGTAGGATTTAATAGCTGCCTTCTGTTTTGGAAAATTGGAAGATTAGCTGTAGTTATATCCAGTAAGCTAAATGTCAGTCTCCCCATCAGAAGTTAAGGTTCAGTACCAGAGTGTCACTAGTTTTTAACTGTAATTCCTTCCAGGGAATTCCTGAATTTTCCAGGAAGTTGACACAAGATTAGAGCATAATTTTAATATTCTGCATTCATTTTAATTTTGTTTTGTTTTAGTTCTGAGCAAGATAAAGAAGAATGGATCAAGGTAAGCTTGACTTCTGTTTTCATTTTGGCAATTTGTGGTGCACATATGTACACATGTTGTTTAGTATATTGTCATCCGAACAAGTTTGTTGAACTTCAAAGATTATTCCTATCATAAGTATTTGTTTAACAAAGTGTGTTCACTTCATTTGTGTGGACACTTTAATGTGTGCTTTGAATTTTGTTTCTATTTTAGGCCCTTCAGGAGACTATTGATGCTTTTCAGCAGAGGAATGAAACCTTCAGAAATGCAATTGCAAAGGATAATGACATTCACTCAGAGGTTTCTGTAAGTAGAATGTGGAATTAATTTCATTCTCTTTTTTTTCTTTTTGTCAATTGTGGTTCAACTTGAACTCAGGGCCTGGGCACTGTCCCTTAGCTTTTCTATTCAAGTTTGGCTCTCTACCACTGGAGCCACACCTCCACTTCCAGCTTTTTGCTGGTTCATTGGCGATAAGAGTCTCACAGACTTTTCTGCCTAGCTTAGCTTCAGACGACAGTTTTCAGATCTCAGCCTCCTGGGTAGCCAAGATTATAGGTGAGAGCCACCAATACCAAGCAAAAGTACTTCAAAGAACTACGTAGGAATGATAATCTTTTTCTAATCAAATTCAGTCTCGGGGCTGGGAATGTGGCTTAGTGGTAGGGTGCTTGCCTAACATGCATGAAGCCCTGGATTTGATTCCTCAGTACCACATAAACAGAAAAAGAAGTAACACTATGGATCAAGTGGTAGAATGCTACTCTTGAGCAAAAGAAACTAAGGGACAGTACCCAGGCCCTAAGTTCAAGCCGCAGAACTGGCCAAAAAAAAAAATCTCAGTCAGGCACCTATAATACTAGCTACTCAGGAGGCTGAGATCTGAGGATCATGATTCAAAGCCAGCCTGGACAGGAAAGTCCATGACACTCTTATCTCCAATAAACCACCAGAAAACCAGAAGTGGCAAGGTGGTTCAAAGTGATGGAATGAATAAGCTTAAGGACAGGGCCCACGCCCTGAGTTTAAGTCCCATGACTGATCAAAAATTAATTAGGGGCGGGGAAGGTGGCTTAATGGTAGAGTGCTTGCCTCGCATGCATGAGGCCTTGGATTTGATTCCTCAGTACCACATAAACAGAAAAAGCCTGAAGTGGTGCTATGGCTCAAGAGGTAGAATACTAGTCTTAAGCTGAAGAACTAAGGGACAGTGCCCAGGCCCAGAGTTCAAGCCCCAGGACCGACAAAAATAAATAAATAAATTTAATTGTTTTTTTCTTTAGACTGCAGAATTAGGAAAAAGAGCCCCAAGATGGATCCGAGATAATGAAGTGACCATGTGCATGAAATGCAAAGAACCCTTCAATGCCCTGACCAGGAGGAGACACCACTGTCGAGCTTGTGGACATGTAAGAAGCATTTCTTGACATTTTCTTAAAGCCATGAGTAACTATACAAGTGATATAAAATTATCAACTTGGAAGCCTCCTGTTGGTGGCTCATGTCTATCTATGCCTGAAATCCTAGCTACTCACGAGACTGAGATCTGAGAATTGTTCAAATCTAGCCCTGGCAGGGAAGTCTGTGAGATTCTTATCTCCAGTCAGTTCACACGTTCACACCCCCTTTGAAATAAAAACAAAAACTGGAAGTGATACTGAGGCTCAAGTTGTACAGCACTAGCCTTGAGAAAAACAAACAAACTCAGGGACAGTGCCTACTCCCTGAGTTGAAGCCTTAGAACAGTGTCTCACACACACACACACACACACACACACACACACACACACACACACACACACACACACACACACACACACACACACACACACACACACACACACACACACACACACACACACACACACACACACCCTGATTAGAGAGACAAAGACCACAGGAATTGATGTTGATAGTAGAGTTATAGGCCCCAGACCCAAATTCCTGGGATTCTATGTGTTAGGTAGAGCCATTCGCCCCTCAATGCCAAATAAGAACTATGCAATAGTGAAGACCAGAGAAGGGAGAGTATTACATAGCACAGAAAGAGGCAGAAGCTAGGCACTGATGGCTCACGCCTGTCATCCTAGCTACTCAGGAGGCTGAGGTCTAAGGATTACAGTTCAAAGCCAGACTGGGTAGGAAAGTCTGTGAGACTCTTATCTCGAATTCAGCCCAGAACAAATAGAAGTACAGCTTTGGCCCAACGTGATAGAGTATTAGCCTTGAGCAAAAAAGCTCGGGGTCAGGGTGGCCCAGGCCCTGAGTTGAAGCCCCACCACCAATTAAAAAAAAAAAAAAAAGTCAGAGTAAGCATTTCAGGCCATCTTCTCTTACCTTTCACTATAGCTGTGAGCCTTTTAGGTTTATAGAAACAAAAAATTAGGGCAGAGGGGTAGAAGGCATAATTATCCCCCAGTCCTAATGAGTGTATGTTATGGAAGAGTTGTGCAGAAGTTACCTTTGTCATCACTTTGTCATCACTTGAGGGGAGTGATTTTGGTCACAGTTGCCTGGTGGTGATCTGATCTGAGGGGGCTCTGATTTGCTGGAGTAGTTTCCTCCATTCTACCTTGTAAATATGTTTTGGATGAGTCCTGAGCTTCCTTGATTCCAAGGTGAGGGCAGAGAGAACACCTTAAAAACAAAAACATGGACTTTTAAAAAATGGCCTAGGTGCTGGTCTCTCACACCTATAATCCTAGCTACTCAGGAAGCTGAGATTTAAAGATTGTGGTTAGAAGCCAGCATGGGCAAGAAAGTTCATGAGACTCCTATCTCCAATGCACTAAAGCCGGAAGTGGAGGTGTGGTTCAAGTGGTAGAGCGCTAGCCGTGGGCAAAAAGCTCAGGGACAGCACCAGAGCTAGGGTTCAAGCCCTATGACAAGTACCAAGGGGGGAGGGAGTGCGGGGGCAAAGATTGCCAGCTCTTTTCCTGCTATTAGTTAATAATTTGTAGCCCTAAATTAGGGGTTACTGCTTTACATCAAACACAGTTTAAGTACCTTTTACCTGTGAAGAAGAAATGGAGCCCACAATACAGGTGGACTTACTGGCCTTGCATGAGAAAGGAACATTCTCAGTTACAACACAAGAGTCCAAATGCAGACGGATATGCTGGGTAGAGCCAGCTGCTTTTTCGTTTGGGGCAAACGTTGAAGAACCTTAACTTCAATATTATATTTTCATTAAAGAATGAAAAAGAATCATTAGCTGAAAATAAACCTAGAAGGAAAGGCGTTGATGTAGACAGGGATAAGTGAGCTTGCACTGGGTACCCATTAGGAGCCCCTGACTCCACATTTAAAGGGACATAAATAAGCCAAACTTTTTTCTCTCATAAGATTCAACAATATAGGCAGGTATCAGGGTTCACCAGAGTAAGTATAATAAGCTGGGAACTGGAGGGGTTAACAATGCTGGACAAGAAATCCACTCATTGCCTTACTCATGTAACTGTAACCCCTCTGTAGAGCATCTTTACAATAAAATAAAAAAAATAAAAAATAAAAAGCTGGGAACTGAGACTGTGATCTGAGGATAACAATTTGAAACCCATGGGGCAAGAAAGTCTGTGAAATTCTTATCTCCAGTTAGCTATCAAAAACCAGAAGTGGAGCTAAGGCTCAGCAGATAAAGCAACAGCCTGAAGCTAAAAAGCCAAGTAAGATCACAGGGCCCTGATATGAAGCCCCAAGTACTAGCACACTGGAGCAAGTCTGCCTCTTATATTTAACCTTTTTTTTTTTTTTTCTTGTCAGTCGTAGGGCTTGAACTTTGGGCTTAGACACTGTCCCTCAACTCTTCATATCAAGGTGAATGCTCTACCACTTGAGCTATAGCACCATTTCTGGTTTTTCTGGTGGTTTATTAGAGATAAGAAACTCATGTATTTTCCTGCCCAGGTTGGCTTTGAACCACAGTCCTCAAATCTCAGCCTCCTGAGTAGTTAGGATTACAGGCATGAGCCACCAGCCATCCAACTTATAGTAAACTTTTTATCATTTATTATTACCTGTAATTGTAACTGCTCAAGCCTTACTGTCTTTTAAATGAGATTATCCTTGTTTTTTAATTCAAGGTGGTTTGTTGGAAATGTTCAGACTACAAAGCTCAACTTGAGTATGATGGTGGAAAATTGAACAAAGTCTGCAAAGACTGTTATCAAATATTAAGTGGATTCACTGACAGTGAAGAAAAGAAAAAAAAAGGAATTTTAGAGGTATGAAAATGAAATATTAGGGGCTGGGAAGGTGGCTCAGTGGTAGAGCACTTGCCTTGCATGCCTGAGGCCCTGGGTTCGATTCCTCAGCACCACATAAGCAAAAAGAAAAAAGCTGGAAGTGGCACTGTGGCTCAAGTGGTAGAGCGCTAGCCTTGAGCTGAAGAGCTGAGGGACAGCGCCAGGCCCAGAGTTCAGGCCCCACGACCAAACCGAAAAAAGAAAGAAAATGAAATATTAGATATGTTTAAATTTTTAAACATGGCATACTTTTTTATGAGAATCTGCTTTGTTCTCATTATAACAACATGTTGCTCCCTTCTCAGTCCAATTCTTTGTATGTATCCAAAGACCCTATATGAAGGATTTGCCTCTAGGCCCATTCTTTGTATGTATCCAAAGATGGAATATGAAGAATTGACCCGACCCCCCCTCCCCATGTACCCAGGTGTTTACAGCTACCAGGTAACCCACCAAAGATAAATGCAGACTGCCTGCAGGACAATCTATCTAAGCCTTGCTGTAACCATTCCATAGTGGGCCCAACCAAAAAGCCCCCACCTCCCTTGACCTTGTGGCCTTTTCACTAACCTCTGCTTCCTTGCTCAGACCTCATAAAATCCAGCTCCTGTCCCAGCTCTGACACACAGTCTCCTGGCCCATGGAAAGCCCCTCACTGCTCTATCTCAATAAACAGTCCTCATCTGTAGAGGATTGAGTCTGGCCTGTTTCCTTTCTTTCTCCTCCATTTTCCTAACACTTTTAACTTTGAGGAATACAAATGATATACTAAAAGATTTTTTTAAAAAAACATGTTTAAGGCTGGTGGTGGCTCATGAATGTAATCCTAGCTACTCTGGAGGCTGAGATCTGAGGATCACCGATTGAAGCTAGCCTGGGCAAGAAAGTCCTTGAGACACTTTTCTCCAATGAAAATCTAATCTCCAATTTGTCACCAAAAAAAAAAAAACCAGAAATAGAGGTGTGGCTCAAGTGGTAGACAGTTTTCCTTGAGCAAAATAGCTTAGGGACAACCTCTAGGCCTTGAGCTCAAGTCCTAGGGAAATGGCGCGCGTGTGTGCGCGTGTGCACACACACACACAAACATATTTAGTACATAGGTTTTTATACTGTGGATTTACTAATAAAAACAGAATTCTTTGTGGGTTGGGCATGGTAGTTTATGCCTGTAATCCCAGCTACTTAAGGGGTAGAGTTTGGGAAGATGGCAGTTTGTAGTCAGCCCAGACAAAGTGAGACCTCCACCTGAACCAATCACTGGACGTGGTTGTACCTGTATAATCCCAGCTACAGAAAATATAAATATGAGGAGGGGCCGGGTGCTGGTGGCTCATGCCTATAATTCTAACTACTCAGGAGGCTGAGATCTGTGGATCGAGGTTCAAAGCCAGCCTGGGCAGGAAAGGCTGTGAGACTCTTATCTCCAATAAACCACTCAGAAAACTGGAAGTGGTACTGTGGCTCAAATGGTAGAGTGCTAGCCTTGAGCTGAAGAGCTCAGGGACAAGCACCCAGGCCTAGAGTTCAAGTCCCACAACCAACCAAAAAAAAAAAAAAAAAGTATGAGGAGGATTACGGTCCAGGCTGGCATAGGAAAAAAATGAGACAGTACTCCAAAAATAACTGAAGCAAAAAAGGACTAGGGGCATGGATCAAGTCTTACAATGCCTGTCTAACAAGCACAGAACCATGAGCCAACTGCCTTGCCATCAAAAAGAGAAGGATAGGAGGGGGAGAAAGACAGACAAAACAAAGAATGGAGTTCTTGGGGGATGAGATGTGGTAGTTTATTTCTATAATCCCCAAAACAGCAAGGCTCCATCTCAACCAATAAACTGGGCATCATGGCACATATCTACAATCTCAGATACATAGGAATCAGAGGTAGCAGGATCACAGAATGTATATATATAGCCGGGCGCTGGTGGCTCACGCCTGTAATCCTAGCTACTCAGGAGGCTGAGATCTGAGGATCGCGGTTCAAAGCCAGCCTGGGCAGGAAAGACCGTGAGACTCCTATCTCCAATAAACCCATCAGAAAAAAAACCGGAAGTGGCACTGTAGCTCAAGTGGTAGAGCGTTCGCCTTGAGCTGAAGAGCTGAGGGACAGCGCCCAGGCCCAGAGTTCAAGCCCCATGACTGACAAAAAAAAAAAAAAGTGTATATATATATATACATATATATATATATATATGATGGCTCACAACTGTAATACTAGCTACTGAAAATTGAGGATGACTGATTGAAGCTAATCCAGGCAGAAAAGTTTATGAGACTCCTATGTTCATTTAATCACCACAAAGCCAAAGTAGAATTGGAGATGTAGCTTATGTAGTAGAGCATAAACCTTCATCAAAAAAAGCCAAGCAGGGTGAACAAATGCAGCAGTTGTGCTCATTATTCACTATGACAATGAACTATAAAACTTGTAGGTGAGGACAGGAGAGAAAAACTCGCAGAGAGCAAGGGAAAGGGTAACATTGTCCAAAAAGAAATATACTCATTGTCTGACTTATATAACTGTAACCCCTCTGTACATAACTTTTATTATAATAATAATACAAAATTTTGAAAGCCAAGCAGAATCTTCCTTGAGTTCAAGCCCCAGTACTGACAATTAATTCAAGGTCTCATAATATAAAGACTTAAAGATAACTGGAATATGGTTCCATAGTTTAAAACAGTAACTGCAAATCTTTTTTTGAAAAAAATCATCCAAAGAGACATTTTATACAAATATAGTGTACTTAGGGAGATTATAATAAAGTAGAATTGCTTCCCTGTCTTGGGCTTGTTGTATTAATTCTATTATATTTGTTTAGATCGAGTCTGCAGAAGTCTCTGGAAACAGCGTGGTGTGCAGCTTCCTTCAGTACATGGAGAAGTCAAAACCTTGGCAGAAAGTTTGGTGTGTGATCCCTAAGCAAGACCCCCTGGTGCTCTACATGTTTGGCGCCCCGCAGGTAACTTAGCTATAGCTATTTGAGGAGACAGAGGGAGGCCTGTGGTCAGTGGACTCCAAGTCCTTCCATTGGTCTCAGACAGTGTTACTATGTCTCATTGGAAATAATGAGCAGCCACATGCCAATAGCACATGGCTGAAATCCTAGTTCCTCAGAGGCTGAGATCTGAGGATCCTGGTTTGAAGCCAGCCCAGGCAGGAAGTCTGTCAGATTCTTATCTCCAATTAACCACTAAAAAGCCAGAAGGAGAGGTGTTGCTCAAGTGCTAGAGTGCTAACTTGAGCCAAAAAAAAAATCTCAAGGACAGCAGCCAGGCCCTGAGTTCAAGCCCAGGAAACAGAGAAGGAGAGAGGAAGAAAAGTAGGGAGGGAAAGAGAGAAGGGAATGAGCAGCTCAAGCCAAGTTTGTTGCTTACGTTAACTGATTAATTTTTAGAGTTGCTTTTTTTCTTGAACTCAGAGCCTTGTGCTGCCCCTGAGCTTTTTTGCTCAAGGCTAGCACTCTTAACAGTTAAGCTAAAACTCTACTTCCTGCTTTTTGCTGGTTCATTGGCGATAAGGGTCTCATCAACTTTCCTACCTGGGCTGGCTTCAAACAAAGATCCTCAGATCTCTGCTTCCTGAGTAGTTAGGATTACAGGCATGAGCCACCAGTGCCTAGCATTAGAGTGTTTTAAATTTTCTTTCTTTCTTTCTTTTTTTTGTCTGTCGTGGGTCTGAGCACTGTCCCTCAGCTCTTCCGCTCAAGGCTACCTTTCTATCACTTGAGCCACAGCACCACTTCCGGTTTTCTAGTAGTTTATTGAAGATAAGAGTTTCATAAACTTTCCTGCCTGGGCTGCCTTTGAACTGTGATCCTCAGATCTCAGCCTCCTGAGTAGCTAGGATTATAGGCGTGAGCCACCGGCACCGGCCTGTTTTAAATTTTCTGTGGACCATTGGTCCCTGCTCTTATTCCTATATAGCACATTTGAGAAAAAAATGAGTTTAATTAGAAGAAGGAAGTAAAGCACAGGGAGGAGTGGAAGGAAAAACAAGTGTGTGTGTGTGTGTGTGTGTGTGTGTGTGTGTGTGTGTGTGTGTGTGTGTGTGTATCTGTCTGTCTGCTGGTACTGGGGCTTGGACTCAGGTTATCTTCACTCTCACTCAGTTTTATTTACTCAAGGCTGGTGCTCTATCACTTGAGCCATAGCTCCACTTCTGGCTTTTTGCTGTTTAAGTGGAAATAAGAGTCTTACAGCCTTTTCTGCCTAGGCTGTCTTCAAACCTTAGTCCTCAGCTCTCAGCCTTCTGAATAGCTAGGATTACATGCATGAGCCACCAGTGCTCTGTTACATGTTTTTCATTCTTTGTTGTTTCCTTACCCCTTTTTCTGTCCACAAATAAATGGTTGAATGAATGAATCACTAGCTGCCATTAATGCCTGTTGGCTGAAAGCAGGAAGGTGCTAGTATTATTGATTGTGGGTGCTTTTCCACTGCCAGGTGGGCTGAGCCTGCTTTGAACAGCTGCTGATGTGGTCCCTGCTGATTTGGGGGCCAGCGGTCCCTGAGTGGTGTGTCCAGCCTCATGGCCAGCTCAGGAATCCCAGGGTCCATTCCCAGTGTGCTCGGCATGGGAGGAGGGGCAGTAGCAGGGTTGCAGGACAAGGGGACCCCATGGAACTGGCTCATCCATGTGACACTGTGTATCTGTGGTTTGTTCAGGATGTCAGAGCACAGGCCACGATTCCCCTCCTTGGCTACATCGTGGATGATGTGCCCCGGAGCGCAGATCTGCCTCACAGCTTCAAACTGACCCAGTCCAAGTCTGCACACAGCTTCGCAGCCGACACTGAGGACCTGAAACAGAAATGGCTGAAAATCATCCTCATGGCCGTCACAGGTGAGACCCCAGAGGGGACCGAGGAGTACTTAGCCACGATGGAAGAGCAAACCGACCCCAAGAACAAATCTGAGTCCTGAACTTCAGGGGCAGCCAAGGCCCCAAGACATTCCTTAGCTCTCCTTCCTCGCCCCTTCGTGCGAAATAGAGGCTCATCATTGCAACTCCAGGGACACTGTTTTTCTCCGTCTGTGTCCTCTGAGTAAAGTCAATGTGCAGAGCCATTCTCTTGATAAAATTTGGAAATAATGTGAAGAATGGAGTGTTTTCTTTTTGAAGTAAGCTATTCCATGAATGTGGACATTTGTCTGAAGGTTAGAATGGGCCACTTTGATTTAAGAAATCCCTCAGTGCCGGGCACTGGTGGCTCATGCCTGTCATCCCAGCTACTCAGGAGGCTTAGATCTGAGAATCATGGTTTGAAGCCAGCCAACAGAGGAAAGTGGGTGAGCTGCTGATCTCCAGTTCACTAGCAAAAAGCTGGAAATGGAGCCGTGGCTCAAATAGTAGCATGCTAGTCTTGAGAAAAGAGAGAGAGAGAGAGAGAGAAGCCCTGAGTTCAAGCACCAGTACCGGCACACACCCAAAAAATTCCTTCAGTGTCCTTTTCCCATTTAGGAACTATAACTGTTTAAAAGATATACCTCCTTGTTGCCATGGTGAAAAGTACAGGGACAGTTTAGGGTAGTTTATTAATTTATTTTGTTTATAAATCTCAAGCTGCATACATGATCTATGTTCTTTTAAAAAGAGGAAAAAGGACAGATTGTTGGTGTTCAGAGTTTTGACTTATTAAGAAAAGATAATTTTTTTGTAGATGTACTCCTAAGAACACATTATCTAAAGCAAATAGCAATTGTCTGTATATAGGGGTAAAAAATAAATATATAACGTATACATGCTTAGCTCCTCAGCTTTAGGTGCACATCCTTCTCTATTTATTTTTTAAATAGAAAACACGTCTTATCTTGGAATGGAACAGTATTCTAAACTTCGAACATGTTCTGTTAATAATATGTTTAATTGATTGGCCTCTAAGGGTATCGATATTTTTTATAATAAGAAAAAGCAGTAATTTATGTGACATGGGATATATTAGTGAATTCCAACAGTATTTTTAGAGGACTATTTTTTTTCTGTGCCTATTTAAAACAGCCTTTCATAGAAGGTGCTATTAATACCTATTTAAATATATGATGAGGGTTTAGTTAAGTGGTTCAGTCTTTATATTGAAATTAGAGTACATTTTAGTCTGTGGGGTGGTCAAAGTCATATGGGTTATTTTACCTTTTATCATAATATAATGGTTGTAGTAGCTAGCATCGGCAATGTTCAAAAATTGTTTTACGCTGGGCACCAGTGGCTCACGCCTGTAATCCTAGCTACTCAGGAGGCTGAGATCTGAAGACCAGGGTTCAAAGCCAGCCCAGGCAATAAAATCCCTGAGACTCTTAACTCCAATAAACCACCAGAAAACCAGAAATGGCACTGTGGCTCAAACAGTAGAGCGCTCGCCTTGAGCTGAAGAGCTGAGGGACAGTGCCCAGACCCAGAGTTAAAGCCTCACGACTGGAAGAAAAAAAAAATTGTTTAACCAAAACTTGAACTGCATGCAACACCTGAGCTTACACAAAGCTGAGACATATGGGACCTTCATTTCTTGTCATATTTTCCTTTACTCATAAAGCTGTTATGCCTGGTTAAATAAGGAGTACAAACAATGAACACTTAGGGTAATTTGTGGGCCTATTCCTCTGACAGATACTAAACAAAGTTCACACGCCATGAGCCATTCTTGGGCAGGGTATGGTAGGCAGCTAAGAAAGGAAAATTTGGTAGCCTACCTCAGAGAAAAGAGAGAGAAAAGCAATTTTGAAAAGGAACATTTTAATGACAGGTTTTCAGGAGTATAAATGATTGAAGAAAATATGGTGGATTATTTTTTTTCCTTTTTATCCTCTGGAATTTCAGTAGACAAATTAGGTTTTCTTGACATGAAGACTGATCTTCCTTATACTATAGTTGTGGTTAAACATCTCACGTGAGGAAAAAACAAAGCATGAGATTTCTTTTCATTAAATTCTTTTGTCTTTGAAAATTAAAGTTACTTGAGCAACAGAGAATCTTGCTTCTTATGCCCTGTTAAATCAGAATCAAACTAAAAGACGTTTTACATTGCTTCTCTTTTCTAGTCACAAAATGGTGGTGGTTGTATGTGAGGGAAAAAGCGAGAAATGGAGGGAGAGATGGCCATCAGGCCTCAGGCCCCAGGCCCTCAATTAACTGAGCTAATGAAACTATAGTATAGGTGATGCTTGGCTTTGACCAATCAAGATCAGAGAGTTGATGAAAATGTAGCATGATTGTCAGAGGAAGACACTTGAACATGGCTAGCACAATGGATCTGTGTGCCACTTGGAAGATTTGTATCTGATTATTTTTGGAAACTGAACAGCTATGCTAGCTAATACTAATTAGTTCCATGATAGAAGTAACATAGACCCAATTCAGTGTTGCTCAAATTTGATTGTTGAAAGAAGGCTGTTACCATTCACTGTCTATAATTGTTTTCAAAGCAAAATATTAGTGCCAGAAGATCATCTCTGGCACCAATGCCAATCTTCACTTTTCACCTCCCATTCTTGAGGCCAGCACAAGAAAGAAGAGAAGCAGCCTGTCCCATTTATGTTTTACTAGAGACTCACTAGTACTGCCAGAGACTGGTGGATCACACCTATAATCCTATCTACTCAGGAAGCTGAGATTGAGGATCAAGGTTCAAAGCCAACCTAGGCAGAAAAATCTGTGAGACTTTTTTTTTTTTTTTTTGGGGGGGTCTGGTCATGAGGCCTGAACTCTGGGCTTGGGCGCTGTCCCTCAGCTCTTCAGCTCAAGGCTAGTACTCTACCACTTGAGCCACAGCACCACTATTTTTTTCTGCTTATGTGGTGCTGAGGAATCAAACCCAGGGCCTCAAGCATGCAAGGCAAGCGCTCTACCACCTTCCCAGCCCCTCTGTGAGACTCTTACCTCCATTGATCCAGCAAACAGCTGGAAGTGGAAGTGTGGCTCAAGTGGTAGAGTGCCAGCCTTGAGGGGAAAAGCCAAGCAAAAGTGAGACCCCCTGAGTTCAAGCCACAGAACTGGCACAAAATAAAATAAGACAGATATTATTTACTATGAAGGCTTCTAACCACAAGCTTATAACAAGTTAAGGACATAGATGTTACATTATAATTTAAATTGCTGAGTATAGGAAAGGAATTGGGGGTGTCATTCTTTGCATTAAAATGCTATAAAAAGCAAAGAATATGAGATTAATTGAAACATGGTATAAATATATATATGAAGATACATAATAAGCTCCCATTGTAAATAGTATTACCTACTAGTTTAAAAACAATAGCAAAGGGTATTCCAGGTGCACCATTTTCCCTGTTTGTTTTTTCTTGAAACCAAATTTGGTATATAGGCTAATGTACTTAATCTTTATTAGATGCCCCATCCCAATTTTTTAACAACATACCACTTTTTTTTACAGGAACGAACTTTTTTATGTACTCTGTAGTTTTTTTTAATGCAAAGTACTTGCTCTAGTCACAAATATGTAAATGTGACTCTAACCTTCATGGCGCTGCAAGGGTTATTTGAGATTCACTAAAGCCTTCTAAAAACCATTTTTTGTCAAAAATACTTCTGGAAGTTGGAGATCCTGCTTTTCTTATCTCTACTTTGTGGAGACAGGGTTGGGGGATTTTTCCCCATTCACATTTTAGATCTCATTTGTTTGTTTTGTTTTGTTTTAAAATATATCCAAAGCCTTATGTTATCTGAGTATGCACTTCATCCTATGTCTCTATTCCTTAAGCTCAGGCACCAACAGGAGCAGATCTGTCTCTAAGAAACAAAGATCATCATTTTCTGTAGGTATCATGCTATAATACAGAGATTAATACTTAAGATTCTCTGTATCCTACCATGCTTGTGTTCATGAGGCTCAGATAAGCACATGGTATGTTCATAAACTATCCTTAAATGTTGTGTGCTCCAAGAACGTATTAGTGTAAGAGCTATGTCTAGCATGCACCAGTGGCTCCCGCCTGTCTTCCTAGGTACTCATGAGGCTGAGATCTGAGGATCGAGGTTCAAAGACAGGAAAGGCCATGAGACTCTTTATCTCCGATTAACCAGCAAAAAAGCTGAAATTAGAGCTGTGGCTCAAGTGGCAGAGTACCAGCCTTGAGGGAAAAAGCTAAGGGCAAGAAGAACAAGGCCCTGAGTTCAAGCCCAGTAACTGCACAAAAATAAAATAAGTAAGAATTATGGCTGACTAGTACCTGTTTTTAAGATTGCTATTGACATCTATAATGTGTCATTTTACTCCTCTATTAGAATCAAACTACTTTTTATTTTCCCACTGCTGTCTACTATAGCTTTCTCTAGATTTAGAAAATAGGAATATTATATAAACAGACACCAGGTCTACTTAAAAGCCCTATCTGTGAATTTATATGTGTATGTATATATGTAAAAATTGGTGACTTTTTTTTCAATTCTCTTTTCACAGGAATGAAATTTTTATAGAAAAAGCTTTAACTTCAGTATTTTAACATAAATTATTTACGTGGCTTTTTAATGTATAATTCACCTTTATCACACACGTCCCTCAATCACCTTCAGTCATAGGAAGATAACTTTGCTTTCTTTACAGATAAGCAAGGAATGAGATTAAAAAGGGGCAGGGTGAGGAACAAATTAAAAGAACGAGGAGACAGAAAGACTACTGGTTTCAGAACAGAACAATTTATGTTAGAGAAAAAATACATATGTATGTATATGTGTGTGTGTATGTATAAATATATATATATATATATGAAATTGCACAAAGGATAAACTATAACATTTAAATGTATGCTGGGCACTTGTGGTTGACACCTGTAATCCTACTCAAGAGGCTGAGATCTGAGGATCTCAGTTCCAAACCAGCCCTGGCAGAAAAGTCAGTAAGACTCTTTATCTCCAGTTAACCAGCAAAAAAAAAAACAAAAACAAAAACAGATGTGGCTCAAGTGATAGGTGCTAGCCTTGAGTGAAAAAGCCAAGTCAAAATGGGAAACCCTGAGTTCAAGTACCAGCACTGGCACCAAAAATAAATTAAAAAACAAATCTATGTACTTGCAAGCTGATATATCCAGGCTTTGACCTTGGCCTCTAAATTATAGACTAGACTATATCTTTTTTTCTTTCTT